ACTATTTCATGATAGCGTTGAAGCACCGGGGCTGTCTCCAGGCCCAGCATCCTGCCAAATCGCCAGCCCTACCTCACACAGCCTCTGCATGGAGCCCTGTGGGGCCTCTGGCCAGAGCTTTCTAAATATAGCTCCTTCCTCCTCCAGACAGCAAAGACCAGATCCTCTGCAAGGCTTCCGTCCTGATGGCTAGGCTCTAGGCTGTTGGGCAGACCTCCCCAGCAGGATGGAGGGAGGAGCAGCACGGACAGGGGGTGGCCAGGACTGGCGAGGAGGCCCGAAGCCGGGTCGTAAGGGACACTGAGGCCCTGATGCCCAGGGGCCATGGCCTTGGCCCTGTGTTCCTGCCTTCTGTCCCTGGGGATGTGTGGGGTCTGTGGGGCCCTGTCCCAGGCAGGCTCTGCTAAGCTGTGACCGGGGGACAGGAGACTAGGCAGTGCTGAAGGAAGAGAAAAATGATGGTCTTCTCAGGAGATAGAAAGAGCCTGCCTTTAGGGTTGAACTCCCGACTCCCCCTCTAAGCCGGGTGAGGGCAGATCCTTCACGGTACACCTCAGTTCCTCGTCTGGGAGGTGGGGGCGCAAGACCCTGTTGAGGGGATCAGTGAGAACGTGTGTCCAGTGGTGGCCATGCCAAGGCTGCGTCAAGATGCCATGGGTTGTGTGGCTCTGCAGGACGGGCACTCAGCCTGGCATCTCATCCCAGGCGACCCCTACAGTCTGCACTGGGCTGTGTCTTTAATTTTGCCTTGGTGTAGCATGGGGTCCTCCTCCAGTCCTCATGGCCTCAGAGGTACCCCAAGCACAGAGCCTCCACGGCCCATTAGATAGGGAAGCAGCCAATCCTGTGCCCAGCGGGGTGCTGAGGCCCCTTTAAAACATCAGCCTAAATGGGAGCAGGTAAGAAAAGCTGGAACTACCGAATAGAATAAAATCCTGGATTTCTCAGTGCCAGGCCTGGCTCTGCGTGGGAGGCACCAACCCATGTCCCCCCAGCCCCCACCTCCTCCGTTCTGTTTACGGTGGGAGGACCTGCCCTGCCCCCCAGGTCTCTAACACCAGGAAGGGTGGGACCTTGTCTCCTGCAATTAAAGAGTGTTCAGAGGAGACCCCAAACTAACAAGCTTATCATATGGAAAGCCTGGTCGTCAGACAAGGAGAGGCCACTCTGCTCCAGGAACTTTACTCCTATTGTGTGTACAGGCCATGGCCCATTGATCTGACACCCTCTGGATTGAGATAAGTCAGGACTAGATGTGAAATCCCCAAGTGTTGCCCGGGATAGAGACATCAGCCGCTGTTTAGACTGCCCTTCTGCTGACAAGCTGGTCCCCTGGCAGGGGTGCTTCGTGGGGTAAGGCTTTCTGGTGCTATGGCCACCGTTCACAGGGCACTAACTCAGCAGCCCTGTGCGGTCGGTCCCATTATCAACCTCATTTCTTTTTTTTTTAAGAGAGAGAGAAAGAGTGAGCCGGGGTGGGAAGGGGGATGGGCAGAGAGCGAAGGAGAGAATCTTAGCAGGCTCCATGCTAGGCTCAACCCAGGGCTCCATCTCCCGTCCCTGCCATCATGACCTGAGCCAAAATCAGAGTTGGATGCTTAACCAACGGAGCCACCCAGGCGCCCCCCACCCTCATTTTCAAGAGGTTGAATCAGTATATCCGAAGATCACACAGCTATTAAGTGACAAAACCAGGATTCAAAGTTTATGCTCTTTTGGCCCCTGTGGTTTCTTCACACCTTGGAGTTCCAGGTTTTCCAGTGATGACAGTTCTTAAAGAACATTTCTAGGGGCTCCCGAGCGGTCATATCTACAACAAACAGTCTGGCCAATGATTAGGACAAGAGCCCTGGGCTTTCTCCAGGGGAAGTCATGCTGAGCTACGTTCCAGAGCTCTAGTAGTTAGCAAAAACATGTCAGCGGAGGAAACCTAGGGTTTTAGCGTATCGAGACTTTTCAAAGGTGTTTGGCAAGGTTCCGTGCCAAAAATGTTCGCGTACCTAGAAGAAACTGAATTGCTTCGCTGGAGCTTTGCAGGGAATGCTTTGTCATGAGGGGAAGGAAGATATTCTGAAGGATGCATGTGCACTCCTCGTGATGGAGAATGGTAAATAGCAGTGCCTCGCAGGAACCGGGTGGTTGTGGGGTCTTAGGGCCTATTTTTTAAAATTTAAGATCTGGAAAAGGAAGCATACAGTGAAAATGCCAAGTCTGTAGGATTCTTGGGAAATGAGAAGCCAAATTAATGGAAGGTGTGGATTTTTGCTTTGGTTCCCAAATCCTTGCTAATGATCAGCATTTTGTTGGCCTGATTGCCACAGTGGCATACAAGTGGTTTCATCCATCCCCCACTTAACTCTCGTGCGCCCCCTAGACGTCAGGCACCGTGCTGGGCACAGACGCGGATCACACATAGTTACTCCGCTTTACGCAAGTGGGATTCAGTGGGTCTTTCACTTGCTCAGTTTACTTACTGAGGTATTGTGAACAGTACAGTGTAAAGAACCACCTCATTCTTTTTCATGTCTGCCCAGCGGCATTTCCCCGGGAAGTGACCACATACATATATTTCATCCATTCCCTCTTGTTGGGCCTTTGCACTATTTCTGGATTACAATATAGCAACAGTATAGCCTTAAACATCCCTGTACCCCGATATTTGCCCATCTGGACAAGTGTTTCTGAGGATAGTCACCTGGAAGGGAAATTACAGGGTCAGAGGAGATACACATTTAAATTTTTTTTGTAAATACTGATGAATTGCCTGCAAAACACATCAATTTTAATTACCCCCAAAGCATCTGGCAATGCCTATTTCCTCAAATCCCTACCAATATTGGATATTATATTCGTTTCGTATTGCTGCTGTAACAACCTACCATAAATTTAGTGGTTTTAGAACAACACAAATTTGTCATCTTACAGTACTGGAGGTCAGAAGTCTGACACAAGTCTCACCAGGCTGAAATGTGAAATCACAGTGTCAGCAGGACTGCGATCATTCTAGAGGCCCTAGGAAAGATTGTTCTTAGCCCGTGGCCCCCTCCCATCTTTAAAACCGGCAAAGTCTGGGGGCACCTGGGCGGCTCAGTCAGTTGAGCCTCTGACTCTTGGTTTCGGCTCCGGTCATGATTTCAGGGTCGTGAGATCGAGCCCCATGTCAGGCTCTGCGCTGTGGGGAGTCTGCTTGAGATTCTCTCTCTCTACCCCTCTCTCTCTACCCCTCCCCCCACTCACGCTCATGCTCTCTCGCTCTCTCTAATCTTAAACAAAAACAAAAACTCAGTGAAGTCTGGAGTCTCTCTCACCTGGTGTTACTCTGACACTCTTCTGCCCCCCTCCCATTTTCAGAGCCCCTTACAATTACATTGGGCTCACCTGGATAATCAGGATTCTCTCCTTATCAGGTCAGCTGACTAGTATCCTGAATTCCACCTGTGACCTGAATTTCCCCTTACCTTGTAGCCTGACGCGTCCACAGGTTCCAGGGAGTCGAATGTGGACTTTTTGGGAGCGGGACATTTCTCTGCCTACTGCAGATATTATAGTGGTGTCCATTCTAAGTGAAAACATGGTATCCTGCCCTTCTCAGTTGCATTTTGTCAATTATTTGTGAGGTTAAACATCTTTTTCTGTGTGAGGAGGCGGAATGGTTTCTATTATCGTAAGTGGTCTGTTCGTGTCTTTTGTCTCCTTTTCTATTGAATTGCCTTTTTGTTGTTGTTGTTGTTATTGGTTTCAATTGAGTTATAAATTCTTGAGGGCAAGGACTTTTTCATATTCATGTTACATCTCAGTGCCTGCAGATATGGCCCAATTCAGAGAAGCTCCGCAAAGCCCGTTGGCCCTCCCTCCATCGCTCCCACCCATTCTCTTGCTTTTCTGCTTTGGAAGAAGTGTCTGGACCTGGACGCTTCCAGCCGAACTGGCCGAGTTGAGTGTGTCTAGAGGGCGTGATGGTCTGGTGGCTTACTGCACCGTGGACTTCTCTAGCCATGATGGGCTCTGGGGTCAAACAGCCTGAGGGCGCAGCCCTCCGCCCCTGGCCCAGCCCTTCCGGCAGGCATGCTGGCATTTTCGGGTTGCCGGTATGGGAACAGGACAAGCATTGACCCCTCCTTTTGTGAGGAAGGGCCCCTCTCGCCGAGCTGCCCCACCTTGCCATGCTGAGGCCCTGGCAAGACGCACCACCGACGACCCGGCGTGGTGCAGCCCCCGGGGGGTGGGGAGGGGCTTGACACCTCCGATCTGCTTCGTGACTCCGCCCGACAGGCAGCAGGGAGAGATTACTTTCCCGTCGCTGACCTAGAAATGGAGGCCCAGAGAGGCTAAGGGCCCCCCCAACATGGTATGGCTAGTTTGGGGTACGGGGACTCTTCCCAACACCAGCCCTCTCTGTGGCCTCCCTCTCTCCATTTCTCCAGCCGGATGGGCAGGCAGCCCCGAGAAGGCACCTGGGCTGCAGCGCCCATGGCAGCCGCACCCCTCCACCCTTGGGAAGCTAGCAGCTGCCTTGGCCTGCCGGACCCGGACCCAGGACTCTGAGGAGGGGGCCCCACGGAGCCCTCTGCGGCCCTTTCCCTCCTGGTCGGGCTGGGCTGGGCTCCGCCTCCTCCTGTGCCACCGCCCTGGGGCTGGGACTCATTACTCTTTTATTAAATCCATCTGCTCTGCTTGGAGCCGGCCCTGCATCTCCGCGCTCCCCGCCCTGGATATGTGGCGGGGGGCTGCACACAGATGCCATTGTGTGAACTGGGGCGGCATCCTGGAGGGCAGATGCCCAGGCGCGCTGTGGGGGCGAGGGCCCCGCCCAGCCTGGAGGGTGCAGACGCTGAGCCGCAGGAGCTAACTGGGCTCTGGAGGGAGGGGGGGTCTGGAGCCCCTTCTGCAGCCCCCAGAGCCTGCGGGGCCTGGGATGAAGGGGGGCTTTGCCCTTGCAGGGCACTGCGGGCTCGCTGCCTGGCCTTCCACCGATGAATCCGCTCCCTCCCTCTCCGCAGGAGTGCATCATCGACGAGGACTGCGGGCCCACCAGGTATTGCCAGTTTGCCAGCTTCGAGTACACCTGCCAGCCTTGCCGGGACCAGCAGACCGTGAGTGTGCCCAGAGGCCTCTGCGGCTGCAGCACGTGGGCCGTGGGGGCTGGGCTGTGTCCCAGAGAGGAGGACCTGGGGGAGAAGGCCGGCAGCCCCATGGTTCTCAGTTGGGCTTCTGGAAGCCTTCAGTGGGCTTAACCACGGCCATGCTGGGAAGAGCCTCTCCATGATGCCCGGCGGTGGGGGGCGGGGGTTGGGCTGACTCCTGGAGGGACTAGGAAGCCATGTGCAGACCCGCCGCGTGGTCCCTGGCTCCACTGCCTGCCTCGTGGGTGACAGGGAGAGAGGGAAGACAGAGCCCCACACCTGCCCCTTCCCCTGGGGCAGACCCGTCCCCGGGCATACAGCCAGTGACACTGCTGCAGCCCCACCCCCACCCTCCAGATCTTTCTCCCGATCCGCCCAGAGAAGGCAGAAGGAGGCCAGGAGGGAGCCAGAGTGTGGCCCTGGTAGACATTTCATAGAGAAGCACGAAGCCCGGGAAGTGGAAACTCCCTCCACCCAACAGCTGTTTTGGACAAAGCCATATGGGCTCATCGGCTTCTCTTGTCCTTTTTCATGATTAAGACAGTAACATAGCACGATGACAAGTGTGGGAAATGGAGGGCTTCTCACTCCCCTGTCAGTGCCGTCTGTGGTCATGCAACTGCAGGTGTCCCTCGCGCCTGCCGTGTCTGAGCCTGACTGCGGGGTCCCAGGCTGTTGTGCCCACTCCCGGCGGCGGCACCCACGGGCCCTCCCCATCCATAAGGCTTCCGGGTTGGACCTTGGATTAGCTCTCAGAATCCAGCTGCTTCCTGCCTCTGTGGGCCAGAAGCCACCTTCCGTCCTGACCTAGGGAGCTAATAGAAAGGAGCCAAGGCCCAAGCCTGTGGGGGAAACTGCAGGGCACACTGCGTCCTTTGCAAAATCTCAAGTTGCCTAGGAAGACCCAGATACAGGACTCCCCTCAGGTGCCACTTTCCCAGTGTTCCAGCCCCTCACATCTCCCATCTCTGCCCCCTGCCTTCCACTGAAAGCCCCACAAACCAAGACCTCGGCAGCCCCATGCCCCCCTCGCCCAGGGTGATGAGAGCGCATGCTTAACACACCTGTGGCATCTTCAGGCTTTCAGGGCTAGGAGCGGGGTAGGCTGGGTTCTCTCAAGCGCGTGAGCCGGCATGCTCGCGTTTGCCCACCTCTCTGCAGCTCTGTACCCGGGACAGTGAGTGCTGTGGAGACCAGCTGTGCGTCTGGGGTCACTGCACCAAAACAGCCTCCAAAGGTGGCAACGGGACCATCTGTGACAAGCAGAGGGACTGTCAGCCTGGGCTGTGCTGCGCCTTCCAGAGAGGTGGGTGGGCTCTGCGCTGAGTATGGGGCAAGCCCTGTCCCACGCTCCACTACATGAGGCTTCCTGGGGCCCCATCCATGCCCAAGACACACCTTTTCAGGGTCCTACTGCCTGGGCGGGCCCCCAGATGCTCACTCAGGGTGTGTCCCAGCCCCCCAACCTCTGCCTGAGGCAGGCCCCCACCTGGAGTGGACCACCATCTCTCTCTCTCGCTCTCTGTCCCCTGTTGACACCTAGAAAAGTTAAATTCCTTCAGGATGCATGAGCTCAGGGCAGGAGGAACACCCCCAGATGGGTGGGATTTGGACAACCCCTCTCTGCCCTCCAGCTCATTTCCCAGGCCCCGAAGGTAGCACCTGGCTCCGTGCTCTGTCCTGAGGACGGCCCCCTTCTATTCCCTTTCCATTCTCACTGCCCCTCCCGGGTGAGGTTGCTCAGGCACTTCCCCCTCCTGCCGGGTTTCTGAAAATCTCTCCCTTAGCTGCTGCCTCCCCAGCTCAGCCTCTGCAGCCCCCAGTCCACCTGCTCCCTGCTGTCCCAAGCCATTTTCCCCAGGTCAGCTCTCGCAGTGCGGTTGCTCTGTTCTGGCTCCTCAGTCTGCCTTTCAAGGCCTCGGCCAGCTGCAGCTTCTCTGTCTGCCTTCTGTCTCCAGGGCCCCCAGCCTTTCCCACCACGCCCAGCCCCAGGCCTTTATTGGCGCCGTGTCCCAGCCTTGCGTGCCTTTCTTAGGCTCTTGATTCCTCCAGACTTTCGGCTTCAAAACCCAGTGCAGGCCCCCGTCTCCACGCCGTCCTCCCCGAGTGCTCCAGCCCGCCTGAGCCCGCCCTGCCCTTGTTCTCATCCCACCTCTCCAGTTTTAATCTCCACTTTGTGGTTGAGGGGGGAAGGTCGGGGCTGTCCCCCGTTTCTCTGCTCCCTTCCGTGGTGCCCCCCCCCCGCTCGATGCTGGGCACGCAGGGATGACTGTCCACTTGGCCCCAGGTCTGCTGTTTCCTGTGTGTACACCCCTGCCTGTGGAGGGTGAGCTGTGCCATGACCCCGCCAGCCGGCTCCTGGACCTCATCACCTGGGAGTTAGAGCCTGACGGAGCTTTGGACCGATGCCCGTGTGCCAGTGGCCTTCTCTGCCAGCCCCACAGGTGAGGCCCCGCCTGCCCTCCCTATCAGAGGTCGAGAGCAGATGAGGTGCCACCCAGTGGGATCTCAGGAGCAGAGGGGTGATGTGGATTTAGTTTAGGGTAGGTTTAAGTGGAGGTGTCCTTGGGTCTCCAGAGGCCGAGTCTCACATCAGTCAGTGACTGTCGGTTTGGGGCTCAGGAGAAGGTGTGGCTGGGGGTACGGATTTGGAGCTCATCTGCATGGTGGTTGAAGCCTCATGAGGAGGTGACCCAGGGAGAGGGTGTGGAGGCAGAAGAGCTGGGAGCTGAGGTGGGAACCCAGGCCCTTCACAGTGAAGGACAGACTGAGGAAGAGCTGGAAGAGGTGACTGAGAAGGCACAGAGGTAGAAGGGAAACTGGGAGAGAGGGCCCCCAAATTGGGCACTGCTAATAGTGTCCTAAGCTGCTGAGAGACCATGAAGCATCTGAGGTGTGGCCTCCCTGCAGTCACTACTCACCTTCCCCCCCGCCCAGCAGAATCCAGGGTGGCTGGGCAGACACAGAGGACTCCCCGGCCCTGCCTCACGAGGCCAGGGGCTGCCCACAGGTGCAGCAGATGTGACAGTCAGGGGCTGCTGCCACGTGGAGGCCCAGATGGGCAGGCAGCTGAGAGGGACCACACACTGCCGTAAACTCTCAGGCCCCGCAGTGCGCAAGGCCTGCCCCAGAGAGTCTCACCGGAAGACAGACCTCCCCTGGAGGTAGGGGGGGCCCGCCCCTGGAAAAGTGACCCTCCCTCAGCCATCTTTTTTAAGGTACAGTGTGGACGGGAACTGAAGACTCTGTTGAGGTGTTAGAGGAAGTGTGAGGGTGAGCTCAAAGCGAGGGGCCTTGTTTCGGGCACAGGCCTCCCCCGTGTTGAGGGCCCCGCGTCACCCCTCCCCCACGGTGTGGAGCCAGGCCCTTGGCTGAGCCCAGCCCCGGTCTCTCCCCAGCCACAGCCTGGTGTACGTGTGCAAGCCGGCCTTCCCTGGGAGCCGAGCTGAAGACGGAGAGAGCCTGGGGCCCAGGGAGGCCCCCAACGAGTACGAGGATGGCAGCTTCATTGAAGAGGTGCGCCAGGAGCTGGAGAACCTGGAGAGGAGCCTGTCTGTGGAAATGGCACTCGGGGAGCCCGGTGCTGCCTCTGAGCTGCTGGAAGGAGAAGAGATTTAGACAGAGGCCTGTTCTGTGGGTAGACATGCGATAGAAATAGCTAATTTATTTCCCCAGCTGTGTCCTCTAGGTGTGGGCTTACCGGACTTTTTTCCATGGCCTCTTCCCAGTACATTTTCCCTCTGGCTTAAAACAAAACGAGGTGCTGTGCATTTGTCCAGCTCCCGCTGACTGTACACCATCCATCACAGTCCGGGTGCCTGGGTCAGGCGGGGCGGGGGGTGGTGGGAAGTGTGTGGGAGGGTGCAGGGCTGCTGCGCTGGTCGATTACTGGCCACTTGGCCTCTGGTGGCTGGCACCTGGCACGTTTCCTTTTTTCTACATCACCTTGAGAATTGGAGGAGGGGAGGAGCCGGAAAAGGATGCAGATGTCCCCATGACGGGTTTTGGGGAAATGTGGACTCATACATATAGAGAAGAGTGCCCTGCTTTGCAAACGTGAGGCTGGCAAAATGTAACAAATGGATTTTCCATGTACTTCTTCCCATGGGCACAGGCAAGCTGTGCCTTCCGCTGCTGTGGGTGACATGTTCCGCTCGCTCTGTGTCACGTGCATCCCTGTCCTGTCAGCAGTGTTCCTTGGCTCCTATGTCTGTCCGGGGGCAGCAGTTTCATACCCCGCACCACAGTCTGGCTAGGACAGTGGCAGTCTCCCCATCTGTCAGCATCTTGGCGTCTCAGAGACACCAAGTTGCTTGCCCGGGTCACACAGCGAGTGAAGACCAGAACAGGATTGCTCCCAGGTGTGATTCCAAGCCATGCTTTCCCTACCCCTCCCCGCCAGCCCAGTGCCACCTAAAGTACCCTCTAAAAGGAGGCTGGATGGGAATTTTTCTTTTGAGGCATATCCGGAATTGAGGTCAGTCTAGTTCACTATAAGATTAAACTTCTACTGTTAGACGTAGCATTCTCCCTGGTGTGGGGGTGGGCCATCATCCCAGTGCAGAAGCAAATGGTATCAACACTCTACCCCTATGGCGTTTGGTTATGTTAGCGACTTGGAAGGTGCTTGGTTGGTGCAGGATACGTCCACTTGCCAGAAACAGTACTTAATTGTAGGGCCAGGATTATAAATAAAATTTACAAAATCACTTACCAGCAACTGCAGACCATTATCAACCACATGGAGAAAATCAGACAAAGCAAGGCTTTATGAAATACGGCTGTACTATCCAAACTGAGAGCACTGGGCTGCATGCTATTCCGTAAGCGATATTTGCAGGTGCCATGGACTGTTTCCATCATGTATTCATCCAGAGTTATTAAATTTTAAAATTGCACATGATTGTATAAGCATGCTTTGAGTTTTAAATTATGTATAAACACCTATGTTGCATTTAAAAATCAAGCATAAATCACTTAAAACTACTCCTTTGTAGTTCTTGGATGTCTTTTTTCCTTTTGACTTTGAATAAATAAAAAAAACAATTTGAGCCAGAAAAAATAAAATGGAAATGAACTGCATTGTTAAAAAAAAAAAACAAAAAACGAAAGACTTTCACATAAGTGAATTTTCCAGACAAGTGGAAGCACACCTGTTTTAGCACCAAAATATTTTAGAAATGCTAACCATTTTTGTCAGGGATTAGTCTTAAGAGTGGGAATACTTCACTGTCTTCTGAAAGAGTAAATGGAATGTAGGGGCGCCTGGGTGGCTCAGTCGTTAAGCGTCTGCCTTCGGCTCAGGTCATGATTCCAGGTCCTGGGATCGAGCCCCGCATCGGGCTCCCTGCTCGGCGGGAAGCCTGCTTCTGAACCCTCTCCCACTCGCACTGCTTGTATTCCCTCTCTCGCTGTGTCTCTGTCAAATAAATAAAATCTTTAAAAAAAAAAAAGTAAATGGCATGTATATGACTCTAAAAAAAAGAAAAAAAGACTTGAGAGAGAGAGAGCAGGAGTAGGGGAAGGGCCAGAGGGAGAAAGAGAGAAGCAGACTCCCCCACTGAGCAGGGAACCCGATGACGGGCTTGATTCCAAGCCCCTGGGATCATGACCTGAGCTTGGTCAGATCATGATCTGACCAAGGCAGATGCTTAACTGACTGAGCCACCCAGGCGCCCCTGGCTCTTTTCTTTCTCTTCAAATGCAGTTCTGATCATAACACAGATCTTTAGGGACTATAATCATAAAACTACTATATATTAAGGTCAGCTGGGTGGCAGGCGCCAGATTAGGCAGGCTACCTATATTACCTCATTTAATCTTCATTGAATCTAGGAGTATTTTCTTCATTTAACAGATGAAAAAAGTGGAGGCTCAAAAATATTGGGTGGTAGAGCTAAAAGTCAAACAAAAACTATCTAGTATAGTCTCAGGATATACTGATTAATTTTAAGATCAAATATAGAGCTGCTCTCTATTCAATGTCAAAGTCATCACGACCACTCTACAACCTTATCACTCAACAGTTATTTACTGAGAGCTGCTCAGAACCAGGTGCTGCGATAGGCTCTGGGGGTGCCAAGTGGATCCAGAGAGGGCCCCTACTCTGAACGCATCACAGCCTCCCAAGGCATACACATTCAACCCAGCACCCACAAGGCAAAAGCAGTCAACCCGGTGTAAGAACAGTGTTATGGGAGCCTCAAAGGAGCACTTGGTTTGGGAGAACTGGCACGGGGACTGGCTCTCAAAAGATCAGAGGAGTTTATCAGGTGGTCCAAAGGAGTAGGCAGGGGCACTCTGAGCCAGGGGCAGAAAAAGGGATGGTATATAGAGGAAACAAAGTAATTCACAGTGGCTGGCAGGCAAGGTAAATCTGAATGTGTTTGAAGAGGCTTGAAATGGTTTCAGTCAACGAAAATGTTACTGAGTTCCTACTGTTATGTCAGGCCCTACCTATATTAAAAGTGCCAGGAGAAGGTGGAACATGAGATAAAACTAGGTCCCTCCCTCATGGAATTCTATCCTGCGCTACTTTGTCATCAGAGCCCACTTCCAGGGAGAAACTGCAATCGACAGAACACAGTTGGCACAGTTACTGGAAAAACAGAACCCCTGCGTATTTGTATCTCAACAAGTTGGTACTCCTGAATTAAATGGGTTACTCAAGCATCATAAAAGATGCTGAACACTAAGTGTGCCCTCTGTACTGGGGAAAGAGGCAGACTGGGAGCAAAGAAAGCAGAGATGGAGCATGGTCCCCACTTCTCAGGCAAGGCTATAGGGTCTACTAATAATTCCTGGGCTGGTGAATTCTCAGGCTCTGACCAGTCAGAAGACCTGCTTCTCCAGTACAGAGTAGCTGTTAAGCGGAGGAAGAGTCGGTGCTGTCACGGGGAAGGGGCAGAGCATTCCTCCCCGATCCTTTTTTGCCCTTCTAGCTTCGCCACTATGATCGCTGCATTCTTTTCTAAATGGTCACACATGCTTTCACACACTCTTGATTTAGTCATGTATCCTTGATTGTTTCTAAAAGTCAGGTTTTGAAAACACCGTATCTAACCAAGTGGTCATACAGCACCCTTCCTCCCCACAGGAACAACACTGAAGGAACGTCTTCTGGTTTCGTGTACACCTAGTCTCGACTGGCCACAACCTTTATTTGGGCCCTGAACTCCTTTGGAAGCCTGATAAAAATATTTTACTAGCCCCCCAGAAAACTATATGTTATGCACATTCTTGCTTTTTTAAAAGACTTGAATTGCCTTATAAGGCTTCTACTAGTGACCAAAATATTGTTTTTCAAAAATTAAACAATTTAGATGGAATAGTTTTATTTAGCAAATAAAAAAAAACCTTGCTACTTCAGATTATCCTCTATTCCATATACTTTAGACTACAATTTGTAAGTCACAAGTGCAAAAGAGTTGGTTAGGGTCTTGATGCTAAACAACAGGACAAAATTCAGAGGGAGATCTTTTCCAATCGGAAAGCAAATACTAGCGAATGAACCAGAATAAATGATTTTATTGTATTCCATACATTCACAGGTCACTTCCAGATTTAGCAACGACACTGATTAGCAATGCTGATGCCGTGCACTCATTTAGCTTAGACCATGCTGTAAGTTCTCACTCTCTCCTGGCTTAGAGTGGACATAACACCCTAACAATGCAGCCTGGCAACGATTTTCTAGCTGTGGCATAGGTTCACAGCCTCCCTCCCCCTGCCCTCATCTTCTCTAAGTACTTTCCATCCATTATGAAAGAGACCGTCTAATACTCTAGTGTAGGGCTCCTTCACTATTTTTATCTCATCATGACTATTAGCCCCTACTTACACTTCCTTGGTTTGGCAACTGGTTGTTTCAGCTAGCAAGCCTCTGCACAGACCAGCTAGACACAGCATGGTCATGAAACCTCAAGCTTTTCTTTGACCAGAACATACCCCTCACCTTCAGCACCTGCCTCAGATATGTAGGTACTTGGTTCTCACCTGGCATGCCTGGCTGACGCAAACCCATCTTTCCCACGGTAGAAGCTCTTCAAAACCTTGGCGTGACCTGTGAGGAACAGGGTCACAATTTATTGCATGTGCCTTGTGTCACCTGCCCCACACAGTCCGTGGTCTAACTCTTGGCTGATGGGTCCTCACAGGATTCTCAGATTTTAATCTGAGGGAGGCGGACACACGTTAACTTCCCTCACGTAAATTACCACTCCCATCACCACAAATTTGAGTTTGAAAAGTTCGCCACCCCTTTGCTGAAATTGTTAAAGTGCAACATTGTGTTCTCACTCTATCAGGCACTGAAAAGCAGGAAGCTTTGTTTTTCTTTTCTATATTTTCTTTACTCTTGATATTTGTAGTATGCCTGCAAGCGAACACAAAAACAAAAAGCACGGCAGAAGGCACAAAATGAGGAGCAGGTGTGAGAAGAATTTTACCATTTACTCTTAAAGGGACACCAAACCAAACCAAACCAAACCCAAAGCCCATTTTGGTTACAATCAGCCTCTTCTGCTCCACAGAGAGTGGGTCCTCAAGAGCAGAAACTCAATTAACCCCTACATTCCAAGTAAGTAGGCCTGTATTAGGACCAAAGAGCTGTCGTGTTACATCAGAAAATCCAAGTGATCCGAAAGACAATGCACCAAAAATGCTTCCAAGTTTTTCCTCTGAGAACACCAACTCCACTAATGCAAACTTGGAACATACTTCAGTGAAATTTAGCAGAATGCTACAGTTTACATGGAATAAAAATCAGCCAGAAAAATACCTTAGAAAATATTTCCCCCTCCTGTGGATTTCAAGAAACTTTAAAGATATTATGGAATTCTCAATTATTATGTTCAAAGTACAGAGCCAACATCTGCTAATACTATTTTCTATCTTTCTTAAAAGGAAAGAAGGTAAAACCTGATTTTGAAATATTGATAGGATCCTCCAAAGTTAAGTATTAACATCTTTTCATCTCTTATGAGAACTTTAAACGTACCTTACAGAAATAATTATTCAGTACACGTTACAAAATGTTAAAACAAATCTATTCTTATTCCAGATTCTTCATCCACAAAAGTTTAATGACTAAAATAACACAACAGAATGAACAAATGTTTTATTGGCATGTTCATTGTTGTAAACAGCATCTGGCATGAAAAAATTTTACCAAAACCTTTTTATTGATTTTTATAAATTAGATGGCATTTTCAAAATTTATGTAGGATTGTATTCATTGAAGTCCTATTTAGCAAAGCAAAAACTTGCCAATTCTAATAGACTTTGCAATGAAATCATGTTGACTGCATCAGCCTGTGCCGTGCGTGACCTGACTTACTAGCAAGTTTTTTCAACACGATGTTAAGACGCTTCTGCAAAGTTAAACTACATGTAACTATAAATCAAGTCCAAAAATTAAAGTGGGACTTACAATGGTTCTAGAAGATTCAAATTTGAAGTAAATCTTCAAAAATAAATGTACAAAGAAAAAAAACTGAAGCTGCTGAACAGAAAAACCTCATTAACAAGGGCAAATACAATCATATGGGACCCAGCACTGAGGAACCTCACTGAGGATTACATTTACATAGACTGCTATACTCCTCAATGTACACAAATGTACATCATGAATGATATGTGAAAAGAATAACGATGGGAAATAGTTGAACTGCAATTATGGTAACTCAACAGGATCAATTTTATTTACATGCTGAATGAACGAGTGAAACGTATTCTCTACATCCATAACTTAAGTACAATCAGTTATAATTACAACATTGCAGCAATTTGAGCTGCTAACCTGCTGGGAGAGGTCTAAGGGAAATGTTTGATGTTCCAGAATAATGTTCCTAATACTTTGCAAAAAATGAAACAAAATAAAAACACAACTTCAAAATTCTTTACTGGGTTATGGCTGGTTCTAAGAATTTCTTTCTTCAGCTCCTATTTTTGCTGCTTTCCAAAGGTCAACATACGTTGCATTTACTTCCGAATTGTCAATGAGGTAATGTGTGTATCAGTGAAATAAACAGAAAATTCATTCATTCATGGCCTTTGCACAGCTTTTATTATGAAGCTATGAGCATCCTGTCCGAGGCTAGTTTTACTAGCGGCTATGTGCACATTTGTCCGCGATAAAAGAAGTACTCATTCCCCTTCCCCCTTTCCTAGTAGCAGGTTTTGCTTTTTTTGTTTTGTTTTTATTTTTTTGCACATCCCTTTTCACTTTACAGTACATTTGACTATAGTGCACAACATGATTCCAAGTCAAAACAGTGGCCCATCGGGCCCTGAGCTTCTGATTGGTAAAGGGCTGTCCAATCAGTGCTGGTGTCACTGGGTTACCCCTAACCATGTCCGGCCATAATGGCACTACACAGTAGCAGTGAACCATCTAATTAAAACCAAAAATCCCCCAGGGAAAATGCTACACTAGCAGAGTCAGTCTTGAGTCAGATCTTTATTTGGTGCTCCATCCAGATATATTTTTAGTGCTTTCTCTTTCCGAGGTGAGTACGTTACACGATGTCCCGTCTTCTGGAGTCGACTGCTTTCTTTTTTCATCAGTTCATTTCTTTGCTCATCTGTTAACTCCATTAATTCTTCTGTCTTATCCCTGTTTAAAATATTACATATTAGATCAGTACAGCCATCTGCCTTTATTGACTTATGCTTGAATGTTATAATGCTCCTTGATGAGAAAATGAAATCTGATTGTCACTGGTGAAGTTAACTAATCTCACACCTTAAGATGTCCTGGATTTCTAATATGTTTATTAACACAGCACTCACTTCTAAAAATGGCACAGAATAACTTCCATGCTATTAATGGTATAATAATAGCTATCACTTATTGAACATTTATATGTAACAGGTACTATGCCAGTGTTTTTAAATAGCTCTAGTTCTCATAAAATCCTGCAAGGTTGACATCGTTGTCACCATTTTACAGATGAGGAGCTAGGTAAATAAAGCCTAATTTGAACTCATATCTGTCACAGGCTCCAATGACTATTCTTTTCCTCTGGATCTGTGTTGGCTCATATAGTAACCACCTCCTACATGTGCCTACCGAACACTTGAAACCTACTGGAAGTGTTAACACACACTATTTCTAGGACTTACTGTAAGAAAAAAGATGTAAAACATCTCATGAATGACTTTTTATATTGATTACATGTAATGATAACATTTTGGACATAGTGGGTTAAAATATTTTATTAAAATTAATTTCACCAGTTTCTTTTTACTTTTTAAAGTGTGGCTACTAAAAAAATTCAAAATGTAATGTATGGCTCTTGTATTAACTACTACTGATCAGGGCTGCTCTATATCATAAACATAGTAAAGGTATTTACAGAAAACAAGATACTATGCACACAAAAAAAATGTGACATCACTGGGAATAACAACTACATTGTAAATGTACCTATAAAATATGACTGCACCATCATCACAGATATACAGAGGCCAGACATTCAGCGTAGACACTTTAGGATTCCAGTCCAAATCCTGATGAATATCAAGGACAGAAATATCACAGGGAAAAGTTCCTCTACCCTAGGGAAAAAAATAAATGAATGAATAAATCATGCTGTTAGCCATGTTTATTAAGCACTAGTATGCAAATGCAAACATTCTCAGGGCTTTACCTTGGCAAATTCAATATCTTCCAAAGGAATTCCACTGATTTCAGAAAGCTGTAAAAGGAAACATTTTATATGAGTTCATTTAAAAAACTAAATTTATTAAAATAAGTCATCAACCTTTTTTATTTTATTATGTTATGTTAATCACCATACATGACATCATTAGTTTTTGATGTAGTGTTCCATGATTCATTGTTTGCGTATAATACCCAGTGCTCAACCATCAACCTTTTAACCCACACAGAAATAGCTTGATTTTTTTTCAAAGATGTAATGTTTGCTATAAAATATTAGGGAAAAAAAGGCAGAAAGATGAATTGTCTCCCTTCTCCCCTGCAAATGCCATGTCCCAGAAATACCAATTTAGTATATTCCTTCCAGACCCTTTCCTATGCATATATAAACTACATCACATATTTCTAAAATACATAAAATTACATTTATGAAACATCTCTATAGAATAATTTTATATAGCCTATTTATAAGAACAGGATACAGAGTAACCTCATTCTCTTCAATAGCTTAATATACGATTTTATTCCCTCCTGATGGACATCAAATCTGTTTTTAATTTTTCCCAGTTACAACACTATACTATGTACCTTCATGAATATCCTTTCATATTTCTGCAAGTATTTCTTTTAGGTTGAATTCTTAGATGTGGAACTGCACATCTGAAATGTTGCTAATGCCAAAATAAAGCCTGAAAAAATTCTATCAATTTAACTACTTATCAACATTGTATGATATTGCCTGTTTTCCCCAAACCTTGATGATTCTAGGTATTTTTGATGTTCTAAATTTTCACCACTTTAAGAGGTAAAGAATGCTATTACTGTTTTAATTTGTATTTCTTCTTCAACAAACTACCTAATCAAGTTCTTTGCCTATTTTAAAATTAGATTATCTTTTTTTTATTAATGTGGTAGCTCCTTATAAATACGGACCATCGTGTTTCACATCTGTTTTAAATATTTTTGCCCTTTCTTGTTTTTTAATCTTTGTTTAAGGGTTGTTTTAAAAAAATTGGGGAGGAGGCTGTGTGTGAAAGGTTTATGCTTTTATACGATCTCTTCTTTTTTAGTTTCTGGTATTATGCTTAGAAATATCTTTCCCTTTCCAGGATATAAAAAATATTTTCAATATTTTCATCCAGTACATTTGTCATTTTATTTTTATATAAATTTAATATATTTAGAATTTATTTTTGTGTTTGGTGTGAATTATGGAAATAAATTTTTTTTCTCAAGATGCTAATTGTCCTAGTACTGCTTAGGAATAATTCACCCAATCCCCACAGAGCCGAAGAATTCCCACCTTTAAAATGAATAATGCAAAAGAGAACTTCATCTGGATTCTTTATTCAATTCCACATTATTTGGCTTTTTAAAATATATACAGCAACTTACTCTAGTAACTTCTAACTAATCCTAATATAGGAAAAACTTGATCCAAGTAACTAAAAGTGAGGGTCCACTTCTGGATGGCCAAAAGCCAGTGTAATTTTTCAAAGCACCAGGAACCTGAAGAAACAAAGAGTGTGTGACAAGGTGTCACAAGGTACGAAAGAGACAAAGAAAGAACGGTTGCCACATTAGTGTTTGGCACTCATTTCCTAGGCCCTCTCTTAAGTAACACAGAGAAAAACACGTTAGTTCAATTTGCTTTAAAATGAACTTACCTTCTCTCGCAGCTCATCAACACTACTGCTTTCCAACACAACCTCCTGGAAGGGATCCAGCTTCATCTCTGAAGGTCTCCACCTTCTTGACAGAACTGCAAGCTGGGACATGGATTTCATCTTCTCCACCCCTATGAAGATACAAGATTACATCACCTTTCTCTTTTCTCTCGAGGTTCATACTTTGACTTTTTCTGTATTGCCTGACTACCCAAAAAGATTTACTTCAAGCGTTATGCTTAGATAGTGGACATAAAATAACCCAGTTATCCCAAGGAGTTTTTGAGAACACAATACTTCCTTTCTTCCCTCCAGTCTCTGAAGAGAATTCCTTACTCTTTTGCAAGCTCTCCTTTCACCAGGACTCCGAATTCTCCCTCCCGAGTCCTGCTGGACACTGTTCTACCAACTATTCTCTTCTCCGGATTGCCAATCTTTGCCTCTGTTGGCTGCTACCCCCACAAATCATCTTCACTTCATCTTCTTTCTTCACTCAAGCTATCATTAATCCCTCTTTTCATTTACTCAAAGCTTACTGATTCTTCAAAACCCAGCTCAACTGTCTTTCTCTCTGACGTATACAAGAGGAAACGACTGATTTGGTCCTTAGTACCTAGGATTTGGGAATTACAGGTTTGCAGTTCTGGTTCTCTTATAGACTATGTATCTATAAGGGCAATCACTGGTTCTTACTCATTTCTGTAGCAACAGAGATTAGCAGTGTCTGGCAACTTACAGGTTAATAAATGTTTCTGAGATGTAATCACATGATTTATTTCTTACTCAACTATTTTGATGCTAAAATTTATACTGAAATGATACTGATGCAGGCACCGACCATCCAGTAACATCTCGCAACTAATCCATCTCAATCTTTCTTAACAAGGGGAACGTCTATGTCCTTCATCATCTCTTCCTGGTCTACCCAGACAAAGTGATTATTCTCTAAGGCCCCAGACACTCAGAGAAGGAATCACAATCTGGAGTACCGCCTACACAGAATGGTAGACAGTGTCCTAGTTGTTCCTTGTCTCTCCCGCTTACCTGTCAATTAATCAGAGCTTTAACAACTGAAATTTAAAACAAACTGGACCCAAAATATCCTGAAACAGGTGAGGTGTTAGTATTATTGAACCCTCTGAAAACTATCACAATCTTAGGATATTTTAATTTCTATGGGGGGAAAAAAAAGGAAAATCGAAATCTTTCTAGGCGACAGCAGTCACCAAAGAACACAGAACTAGTTGTTTCCTTGATATGATCTCCCCCAAAGTCAACTTTTCTCCCATTACCTCCTCCAAAAAACCAGTATTTTAAATGTTCCAATGTTGAACATTAAAACCAGGAGGTGTGACAAACACAAACCTTCTTCTAGGTTACTGTTACAGGTCAAACCGTGTGTCTCCTCCAAGAGACACTTAAAGTCCTATACCCTAGTACCTCAGATTATGACCTACTTTGGAAATAGGGTTGTTATAGTGGTAATCAGGTTAAAATGAGGTCATTAGGGTGGGCCCTAATCCAGCATGACCAGTGGGGTCATGGGGAAATATGGGGAAATTTGGAAACAGACACACAAGCCCACAGGGAGGACATCATGTGCAGATGAAAGCAGAGATCAGGAGATGCATTTCCAAGTCAACAAATACCAAAGACTGCCAACCAACCACGAGAAGCCAGGAGAGGGACATGGAACAAATTTTCCCTCACAGCTCTCAGAAGAAACCAACCCTGCTGACACCTTGATCTCAGACTTCCAGCCTCCAAAACTGTGAAACAATCAATTTCTGTTGTTTAAACCATCCAGTTTGTGGTACTTTGTTATGGCAGCCTAGGAAACTAATACAGTTATTGTTCTCAAAATCTCTGATCAATTATCAATACTACACCCTCTAACAAAAATAAGCCATAATGAAGAAAGAAACTAAATAACAAACCCAGGTAAAATGTTAGCAGAATTTTCTGTAAAAAGTACTTTAAAATGCAACTTTGAAACTGCAACTTCCCTGTAAGGAGAAATTAATATTCTCAAAATTAGAGAAGAGAAATATTTAAAAGGTAACTGGAACCCAGACTAAAGACAGAAGAAAACTTGGTATGTGATAAAAAAAAACAACTATAGGCTTCTATTAGTTCCAGAGCATTTCTAACTGATATTTCCCCACAAAAATATGGATAATACCATCAAGAACTTCAAGGAAAACCTCCCAGTTGCTGGAGATATTAATATCTTCTTCATAAATATGATAATCCAAAAAGACAGTGCCAGGATTCTTCCATGTTTTTTTCCTTAGACGAAATCTACAAATGTGATAAGACATTTTAAACTACTGTATTTTGAGATTCTTAAAAAAATGACATGAATCTGACATCAAGGAAAAATGAACTATGTTTAAATACAAATGTCAAGTGGTTATTCATTAAAATTTTGGAAAAATATGAGATGCTCTTCAAACTTCAAATTTAGGGTCCTACAGAGGAAGTTCAAACAAATTCTAATAGTTTTGCTTAATTCTACTAAAAATTAATCTGTAGTACTAAAATTCTGAATAGTACAGGAATTTTTAATTCTAGTTTGAGAAAATTATACCAATCCATATCAACTGACCACACAGTCTTTCTTCCTTCCCATTGCTGATGACACTGTAATTTTACTTTACCTGTCAATACTGAGCTCTAAACCACACTGCTCCCTGAGTTGAGGAATTAATTCCTCTTTTGATTGCCGTACAGTCATTCCTTTAGCAAACACAGCATCTAGCAGAAACTTGCATGGCTAGGAATATAAACATCATCAGAGAATTCAATTACACATTCAAATAGGGATATACGAGACATTGTATTTGCACTTATATAGTGTGACAATTACAGGCCTGAGTTTAGGAACCTATCTTCCTAGGTTCAAGTCTTGGCTCCACTGTTTACTAACTCTGCTATCTTGAGCAAGTTTACTTAACACTTCTGTGCCTCCTTTTTTTCATCTGAAAACTGGGGACAGTGTCTTCCTCACAGAGTCACTGTGGAGATTAAATAACATTTATATTTCTCTTCTTATAACAAAATGATCTCAATTTTGAAAGTAAAAAGAATCCCTTTTATGGACTAAGATGAGGGATATGCATACTAATTCTCCAAATACATTTATTCATTGTCTCAGAAGGGACACTGTCTCTGCAAACCCCAACCTTGGAAGAAACATTCACATACAAGAGATATGACAGATGCTCAATAAAATATCTGTTGAACAAATGAAGGCATTTTAGGAAAAATTTATCCCCTTCCAGTAGTCCCTCTTTATCCATGGTTTCCCTTTCTGCATCTTTAGTTACTTGTAGCCACTTGGGGTCTGGAAGCAAATAACCCTCCTTCTGACAACTCGCCAGAAGGCCCATAATAGCCCAATGGTACACTGTAATAATCAGTGCCTACGCCATGTACCTTCACTACGCCTCATCACACAAGCATTTCATCATTTCACAAGAAGGTGATAGGAAATATAGCACAATAAGGTATTATGAGAGACCACATTCACATACCTTTTATTATAGTATACTGTTAAAACTGTACTATTTGTTAATTGTTAATCTCTTACTCTGCCTAATTTGGTAAATTAAGCTTTATCAAGGTATGCAAGATAAAAGCACAGTTTATGTAGGTGTGGTACTACCCGCAGTTTCAGGCATCCATGGCAGGGGGGTGGGATCTGGGAACATATCCCCTGTGGATAAGGGGGGGAGCACTATTACATTTGCTGTTTGGTTTTCACACTTGTCTAGGTCTTCAATAAGATGTTATAAACACCCTGAAAACAGGGACTTTTGCCTTTTTCTTCTGGGTATTTTCCATTGCTTGGCATCTGTTGTATGACCTTGGGCAAACTGCATAATTTTTTTGCCTCAGTCATAGCTAATTGATGAGGATTAAAGGAGTTAATATCTGCGAGCATATGGTAAATGCTACTAGGTCAATGCTTGCTAAAAACTAAAATGACTCTCTGAACACAAAAAGTCCGATATAAGGACTCTACAGATCAACTGCTGTCCTGTACTTCATGATCCTGCACTACATGATCATTTCTAGAAAACAAGCAGAAACAATGCCCCTTTTAAAAGCAGGAAATTTCTGCCTCACTCCAGCATTTGTATCAACACTTTAAAGCAGAGGGATGGCAAAAAAAAAAAAAAAAAGGCTTGAGAGCCACTTCATCTGCTGCCTGTTTTTGTAAATAAAATTTTACTGGGACATAGCTAATCCCACTGGTTTATGTATCATCTATGTCTGCTTTTGTGCTACAGTGGCAAAAATGACCAGCTGCAACAGAGGCAGTACGGTCTCCACAACTAAAATATTTTCTGGAAACAGTGTGCTGGCCTCTGCTTTAAAGAGATAAAAAGAAATGACTAGTCATAAAATCTCTGCACTCTATGTTTTCATTAACTGCCAAAAGTGACCTTACATTGCTCTGAAGGGTATTACTTACCTCTTGTTCATTGACCAGAAGCTGGTACACTTTAACTCTGTATTCTCCTTTTTTAAGTGCTCTCCCCAGTCTAATTGTAATCTATAAATTAAAACATTTTTTTTAGATGTATTATCTCAGCAGAATAAACAACCCATTCTCCCCACATTGTTTAGTTTGGTCTTCAAAAATTCTCTAGATTATGGACTCTTTGAGAACAGGTATATCTTTTACCTCTGATTCCCAGCACCTAGAATAGTAACTGACACATAGTGAACATTTAACAAAGGTCTGTTAGATGAATGAAGAAAAACAACAACAACAACAACAAAAACAACCACTAAACATAAAAATAAAATTACCCTTTTAGGGTTATCTATTTCACCTTACTTGGAAACAGAGCAAGATGTTCTCAAATCTATCATTTAAAACAGACTCTAATTATTCAAAATTATTTTAATCAACCTTATTGTCATCTGAAAATGATGAAAGTGTCTCATTCAGTCGGACGCTCTCAAACTCTTGATTGCTGGCATACACTCGAAAGACCTTGAAGTGAGAGGACAAAACTCCAACAAAGGGCTCTAAATGTTGTTTGAAAGCGGCCAGAGTAATTCTTTTATCAACATGCACCATCAACCCTAAGTACAAAAAAACCAAAACAAAACAGAAACAAAAATGTAAAAGAAACCTCTTAGAATATAAATAAAACAGATCATATGCTTTTTCTTATATTGTAAGCAGGAAAAAAGTACCCCCTTTCAGTTATTTGACTTTTAGCTCATACACAACATTGAATGGACAAAAAACATGGACACTGAGCATATGATAGATAGACTCCAACAGCTTCGAATGTTCAGAGATATTTAAGTACTTCATGCTGCTGAATTCCACACCAAGCTTCCAGGAATTCTTTTCCATTACATGCATTTCTAGTTCTACACAGTAATAATGTGGCTCTGGCTGGGCTCCACCCCTGTCTCTTCTGCTTCCCGACTAGCCATGTGACATGGAGCAAGCCCACAGCCTCTGTATATCCACTTCTTCATTTAAACAATGGAGAGAATAGCACCTACCTCATGGTATTGCAGTGGGAATTCAATGGGGTAATAGGTTTATCATGCTCTTAGCACAGTGCCAAGTATCTAGTAATTACTTCAGAAAGTGTTAGTAAATCTAGTTCTGGGATTTCTACTAGAATAAAAATGTCAAGACTAGCATATGAAGATGTCTGTTTATCATGTGGTTGGACTGGAATAGGAAGAGTAAATGGATCAGAAACTCCCACCCTCCTCCAAACTTCCATAAAAGCTCTCTTGGCATTGTAATAGGATTATTTTTGGCAAGCTTTATTTTTTTTTAATACTTATTACTCTTTTGTCCTTTATAAGCCACTCATGAGCATACTTCTGGAATATTTCTATTTACTCTAGTCTTCATATTAAAAGGGCAACAACTTCACTCATTTTTCTCTTTCTCTTACAATAGGCAGTACAGAATACATGAGCTGCATGCTGCCGTAGGCCCATGAGGCCTCTGGAGCTGTAAGCCCTAAGCCTCTCTCTAGGGTAGGCTTTGGTTTTCTGTGAAATTTACATCACTAGTCAAGGATGAGACCCTAAAACACGCCTGGTTTATGTTCTCAGGTCATCCCAACTTTTGAGTTGATGAATTTTTGAGTGGACTTCTTCAAATAAATTAATGTTCATTTACTGTTTTCCTGGTTATAAGATTCAGATAGACTACAGAAAAGGTGACAAGTATGAATTAGAATAGAAACATGGTAATGAACTTTTTTGTTAAATATAACTTTTCAGGCGGCATTTCTTTAAAATGGCCATTTCTAAATTTTAAGGAGTGTCCCTAAATGTTAATAATGCAGCTTTTGGCAAATAAGCCTCTATTTATACTATCCAGGAGGTACAACATTTCTTGAGAAGGATATAATGAAAAAATTACTTGATTAGAAATCAGACGCCAATAACTAGATTTCAGCTTTGCTACTCTTGCCTAATAAATGACTATCGGTAAGTCATCCAATGTCTCTGAGCCTCAGTTTTCTCATGGGATCATTACACCTGTCTCATTGATTGCTGTTATGACAAATGTAGCAAATTCTAAATCATTACTCAAATATTAAGCTATTACTGCCATTTTGGTTTCTGTGATAACCTGTAGTAATGTATCACAGGAAGACACAAGTGTTCGTTGGTTACTGATGTAGTCCAATATGGTGATTAGGCCCAAATGGTTCTGTAGTGAAACAGCCTGGCCTAAATGAATTCCTGCCCCCTCCTTATACATTAGATTTGTGACTCTGACTTAACTTCTCTGTACTTCAATTACCTCTATTATAAAATGGAGACAAGAGTATTTACAATCTCATGTGTTTTGAGGTCAGTATATGTAAAATGCTTAATATAGCCCAGGCCAAAATGGATGGCTTAATTGACTGGCTATAATTATAATTTAGAGATTACCATCACACCATTTTTCCTATTTACCTCTTCAAACGGAAGAGTTCAGTCTCTTCACAGTGCAATCTCAAAATATCTTTAAGGTTTTTCTTTTTCTTTCCTTTATGTATTTCTTGAATGAGGTGGTAACCAAAATTGTACAAAGAAATTTTCAGTGCAAACACACTGCCATTTTTATTACCCTGACCTCCCTGTCTATACCTGAATGCCTGCAGACTGCAACTAGGTCACAGTGGAACAGTATTTTCAGAGAAAGGTCTATAATTACTCCCTGAAACAATTCTTGGATTTTAACAAATAGCTTAAGGACCATCTCTTTAAGTGTATTTCAGTTATTACCTAAGTTAATTGCCTATACTGTACACAGAATGTCATTCTTCAGGTATCAAGCTCTTTGTCTATTATACCTTGCCATTTCAACCCTCTGCAGAATCTGTATTATATTATCTATGTTGCCCAGGCACCTACGTTCAGATCTCTGAGGAACTGTGATGAACCAGCCTTACTTAGTACAGACTCCTGAAACACCTGGCTGCTGGCTATCATCCCCACTCCTCTCCCTCTAAGCCAGTTTCCATGGTTTTCACTTTTTCTTTTCAAACACAGACAAGCTTTCTGTGTGGCTTCTGAAAGCTGAAATAAACTGTAGTATTTAAATGGGTCCTCTTGATCATGTTTACTATTTCAATAAACACTAGTAAATTAGTCCACTATGAATTTCCAAAAAGGTGGAATGAGACTCCTCAGACTATAATTCTAAGTATTCCCATTAAATTCTTAAGGTTGAGACTCTCATGCAGTCAAATATCCAGCACATCATTATAAAACAAACCACTTAAAAGGAATTTCTAACCTCTTCCAAAGAGGAGCTACTTCTAATTTTTCCAGGGCCCTAGTAGGGTTGAGGATGGTAAGAAAGCAAGTAACCGTAGCTACTAGCTATTTTTCCTTTACTATGATGTGAGGAAAGTAAGGGACAGTGGTAGCAGTTATGAAATAGAGAAATAAATACCAGGCTTACAATCAGAATATATGAGTTTGATCCCAGCAATGCGACCCACTAGCTGTGTGACCTCTGGCAAATTATTTTAGCCATTTTGAACCAGTTTCTTCATCAGTGAAAAGTGTCTAACAACATCAATTTCACACAGTTGTTGAGAACTAAATGAAATAAAGTTACTGAGCCTTATGAAGTAAAAACTCCATAGGAAGTTAAAGCATTAGTATAGAGTTTCTGTCTCCACTGTGGCACACCAATCCGTATTTTCCCACTTGAGGTTTCTGCAAGATATGTATATGGATGTCACATGGTTTCAGTGTTATTTGGAACTAGTTAAAAAGACAAATTTATGTATTTTTACAACTGATTCCATAATTTCTACCACTTTTAAAAGACTAAATTTGAGACTATAAGCCTCATAGCACTTCACTTTTATACTGGTTGGTTGCGTCTTCTCCCACCAGATGAAACATAAGTACTTCTAAAATCTACGCAGGGCCTGGCATCTTGAATGGACCCAGGAATATTGACTGGGTGGGTGGATCGACGGATGGATAAAGAGTGGGACTCCCTCCCCACTAGTACAAAGGTAACGGAGCAAACGCATTCAATTCAGACTTAATTCTAGTAATGGTTCCACTACTTACTAGCTATACATGTACTTTTGGGCAAGTCATTCATCCTCTATGAGCTTCAGTTTTCTTATCAGTCAAATGAGAATATCAATATTTGCTTTATTAATCTCAGACAAGCTTCAAGTGAGAACAAACAAGTGTTTTGAAAACTAAAATATAAAAATATAAGGGGTAATATTAATATTTGCATTGTTAAAGACTAATGCAAAGTATTTAGGTTTTTGAGCTATTCCTTAAAAACCTGAAGAAAAATTCTGTATATTGAACCTGGTTGTCCTAATTCTCTGGCTGTTTTTAGTCTGATGTTTTATAAAAAGTTGTTTTATTTTAATGTTGGTGTGTTTTTGTTGTTGTTGCTTATCCCAAAGGCCCGAACTGAGAGATCTCTTCAATCTTTTTGTGATTATGCAATTAAGAATTTCTAGTTTATACTTTGCCTGGAGCTTACTTCATAGTATCAATTTTTTTTTCAAATATCAACTTAAAAAAAAAAGCCCGTTTCCCTTTTCTGACTTTCCCAGTTAATTATGGACTATTTAAGGGGTGTGGGGAGGGAGTTATCTGCATTGTGGGATAAAGAAAAGAGAGGGGATGCACAAATAAACAATTGTCCTGGGCAGTGAATATCAAATTTTCTAGTGTCTGGCCCTTTCTTTTTGGTATATTATTTACTTTTTAAGCTATTCCTTAATTTTTTTACTTAGTACTTTTATAATTCTTTCCTTTACAAAACTCTTAATTCTTTTCTCTTTTTCACTTATCTTCCCCAAAGCTGTGACGTCACTGCTGTCACAGGTCTGATGTGTTGCAGAGGTCCAAGAACACTTGCTACTACAACTGCACTGAAAATGAAAGCAAAGGCAACAGAGGACATTCTTACAATCCAGGAAGTTACGGGTGGTCTTAGAACAAAGTACCTAACTCTTAGCTGATTCTTTTCTTAACTAAGAATTAAAATAAACTGAGAAAACAATTGGTGCTGTTTCAAGGAGCCTTTTTCTTTCTAAGTACATACATTTATGTCCTTCCCCAGAACCTTCGTCTGCAGCATAGGGTTCTGCTTTGAAATACATGTACTGTATCTCTCCCCTGCTCTTGCCACTCTCATCGTATTCACTATCAGTTCCAGAGTCTTCTTCTGCTGTATCCCATGTCTCTTTTTTCCCTTCATTTGCTTTAGTTCTTCTACTACTCGTGATGCTATGAGAGTCAAGTCCATTAGCCAAAGGAATCTGAGCATTATCTGCATTGCACAAAGTGTCACTGCTATGACTGGAGCTAAGAATGTCACTGTCCACTGAACTTGTACTCCTGTCATTATTCACATCTGAGTCTGACCGTTCTTCAGACTGAAAATTTTCAGGATCAGAAGTCTGAATGTGCTGTTCAAGTTCTCTATTGTCCACTGATGCTGAAGAGTCCCTCTCATTGAGAGGCGATTCTATGTTTTCAAAGTCACTTGTCTCAGTACTTTTGCTGCTGTCCCCATTATCTCCATCTTGCTGCTGCTGTAGTGACAAGCTTTTGAGTTTTTCAGTGCTTTCTTCTAGAATAGCTTCCACAGACTTCAGGCTCCCCACAGGTCCTTTAACTCTTTCACAGTCATCATCCACATTACCAGAATCACCCCCAGCTTTCTGGCCTGCTGTCCTTTTGGAATAAGATCCTGGGGACTGTTCAGGTAACAAAACAAATAATCTGATCGTATTTGCATGACGATCCAGGAGTTTCCACAAATGAGAGTCTGTAAAGGCCATCTGGTAATCCAAAGTCTCAGAACTTTCAACAAACACCTACATAGTAAGCCAAAGAGTTACATTACATCATTAATTTTAGTGACATTCATTCTCGTTCATCATATCACCTCGATATAAGACAGTGCATAATAAGTTGTAAAATTTGGGATAATAACATTTCTAAAGGGAATGTGTACTATTTTTGGAGACTAAATAAAATTAATATTATGTTCATATGTCTTTGTAATTAGCCATAAAACTGCTAAGACAGATGGGACACACACATGCACACACGCCACAGGTATCTTATTGGGTTGCCCATTTTCAGAATGTTTTTGTACTCCATTATCTTGCCCATTAGGAAAACGAGTTTAGCACGAATACAGATAGAGGAACATGTATAAAGACATGTTGGGAATGCAATATCAAAATCCAGATTATAGAAAAAAAAATCCAATGGACAAATGACTTGATTCTAGAGCAAATAAATGGTAAGGGAATAAACACACATGGGGGAGCTTTAAATTAAAATAAACTTGAGAGGTATATCATGGACTTTATTTGGATCCTATTTGAACAAACAAATCTTATCAGAAAAAAATTTTACAAGATAATCAGGGAAATTTGAATATTGACTAGATATCAGTTGATATTAAAGCATTTCTGTTAATTTTCTAGATGTAATAATATAATTATGGTTATTTTTTTTTTTAAGTTGTCACCTTTTAGAGATATATATTCAGATTATTTATAGATGAAATAATATTTCATCTGGGGATGTTTTTCAAATAATCTGGGGGAAGTAGGTGGTTAAATATAAATCAAACAAGAGTTGATAACTGTTCAATAAATGTTACAATCAGGACTATTGACCATTTAAAGAAAAAAATAAAGTGTGATCCCTCCCACTTTTCACCCTACAATGGCATTAGGATGCATTAGAGATTTTAATGACACACACAGAAGCACTGTGCAAAAGTATCCAAAGAAAACAGAGGTGATAATGATGTAATATATGGTGATTAACATAACAATAAAAAATAAAAAGAAAAGAAAAAAAAGTTGCATATAGGAAAAAAAAAAAGAAAACAGAGGTGAATAAAAATTACACATTGGGATTAATATGACAACACCAAAAAAGGTTAAATGAGATAAAAGACTCGAGACCGCATTAAGATGAATGAGATTGGAAAAGGCAATAAATAAAGCATGGCAAACAAGAAAAATTTTGGATACAATTTATCTAAACTGATGGCATTAGAAATAAACACACAGGAAAAATGATAAATGAATGACAGAACACATAATGGTATCAAGAGGTGACACAAACAGATCAATGTGAACTTTCTCTTTTCTATCAGAGATAAGTAAGTAGAGAAAGGGAATAATGTTGGGTGAACCCAAAATGACAACCTTCTCTAGAGTTGGCATGTCTCTGACTTTCACCATGAAGTCCTGCTTTATGGGAGAAGCTCAATAATGAATGTAACATAATTCATAGAGTCATAATTCAAGAATTCAGAGGACATGACTGTTGTGGATAGAAACAGTCATAAGGCTTCACCAAAGAGGACTAATCTGGGGCTTGAAAAATAAATATAGGGAGAGGGGGAAGAACACTGCAGGTGAACAAGACATAGAGGAGGACCAGCAGGACTGATTGAGAAGGACGGAAAGAAGCCTGATATGACCGATTACAAAGGATGGTAATTATTGAGAGGATGGGAGAATTCACAAGGTAAATTAAAGACAAATGGTGGAGAGCTCTAGAGGCCAGCCTTAAAATATAAAACTTAATTTACTATAACCAGCATAAAAAATAGTAATGAACAACTAAAAGACGTACCTTGTTACTTCTAAAAAACCCTTCAGCTTTCAGGGTCTTACTGGGCACAGTGAGAAGGCGGAGGTCATTGTAGCAGCGTTCCAGCACTATCCGCATTGTTTCAGCAGGTAAGTGGATGGCCTGTAACGGAAATGATTTGATAAAAAAAGGACTCGTTACATCAAAAACTAATGATGTAATGTATGGTGATTAACATAACAATAAAAAATTATTTAAAAAAAAAAGGACTCGCAAGGATAATTCTTCTTGACTTGGAAATGTGGACAATGAGACACTGCTGAGTTCTTCTTAAAAAGAGCAGAAAGAAAATTCAGAGAAAATAATTTTTGTAGAGGTTTACAAAATTTTTAGGATCTATGGAAAAATTTTAGTCCTATCCATTAATTATGTTCTAAATTAGGTGAACAAAGTATCACTTAACAAATGTATGCTCTGAAACTACTTTTAAGGTAACGATTTTTTACTAAAACTTCTATTCCTCTCATACTTGCAAAGTAAATGAGGTGACCTGGTTCCAATGAAACAGAATAACTGACTCTTTGAGAGTGGATGTCAAACCAATACCTGTTTAACTTCTGAACTTTTGATGGGTTATTTTGTATTCTGTGAATAGTTGTTAATACTTTTCTAAATCATTCGTCTGTGTAAAATGATATTAATTATAAGTAAAATTTAAAGTTATTCTAAAATTACACATCCTTAATTTGAGGTGTCATTATAGGAATTTCACAAGAAATGAACAAAGAAATCTGCATTTTAAAAAACATGATTTGTTTTCAATACAACTAATGATAACTAATTCTTAGGCAGTCTAGTTATACTTCAACCACCGCATTTCTTGGCAAAATATTTTGTAACTGCCTTTATTCTCTACACATATATTTTTCCCCAACAAAATTACTAGCTTTTTCAGGGAAAGGAACATCACGTGTTTCTTTCATATTCTACCTCAGGGCTCATACTCTAGATTAAACTGTAATACAGAGCAAGTACACTAATGCAGTCCTTTTATGAGCAATTTAATTGTAAAATTTAACTCCAAAACGTGATTTGTCTCCTCCAATTATTACTCAGGCAGAAGTGTTAGAAGTTGTTGCTTTGTTAATGTAGGAAGAATTAAAACCCAACTTTTATGTAATAACAATTTTTTTCCCCCACAAACAAAGCATTTATGTGTTCCATTAAATTCACAACAACCCTGTTAAAGTAGGCATTAAAAGACCCCAGATGAGATAAAAGGCAATACTGCCATAAGATGAATGACTGGAAAGTAGATCAACTTCTTGCTTTGCTATTACTGAACAATTTCCACTACACCAAGGCATCTGAACCTAGGGCTTAAGAACCCTGAACAATTTTACCTATGTTTGTGTGCTCAATGTTCTACAGAGTACAGTATAACAGTTTTATTTGGAGTGGACTACCTTTTTGTCCAAGGAAATTTGAATGTTTTCATCATACTTTTCCAGCTCAAAAATTCTGAATGAGTTTGTTCTTTATCACTAACTCACAGAATTTGGTCAACATTTAATTCATCACCTTCCTTGTCAAATCTGCTCCCCCACCCTACTCTTCTATTTCTATCACTAGATCACTACACCTTTGTGGTTACCCAAGTTTGCAACTCCTCAGGTCATCTGTGCTCCTTCCTGCCTTACTCCAACCAATCACAAGTCTGGCAGATTCTATTTATAGAATCATTCTAACAATCTATACCTTCTCTCACTTCTGGTCCTATGCCTTCACCTGTGTTATTTCAACAGCCTCCTCATCTACATTCCTGTCTCCCCCTCCATCCGTGTGGAACACTAGTCTAGTGTCACCAGACTTAACCGTTCTACAGCACAGCTCTCAACATACCACGGCTGTTCTTAGGAAAACAAACAAATATCCTACCTCCTATTGCCTACATCAAGCAGAGCCCATCCTTTTGTGTTTACTACTTAAAGACCCTCCATGAAATAAACTACCTTCTATTTCTAGGCAGGTACTTGACAGAGATCCAGCCAGACACATGTGCCGTTGCTGTGTGCACTCGCCTCACCCTTCCTGACCTCCACACTTTGGTCAATTGGTGTCTTCCACTCAAAGTGTCCTCCTCTTCTGAATATACTTGCCTCCCGCCAGGAAATATTCACTCCTATACCTTACTCGTAACTATCACATAATGCTTTATACAGAGCAGGCACTCAAAAATACTCACTGACCAATTTTAAAACTTACCTTTGAAATAAGTTGTTTGAACTCTGTGACTGTTTGATTTAAGTAAGCACGAACTGTGACAGGAGCAGCTACAGATTCTGCCTTAAGATCAACAACGTAAACTTTCACCATCACTTCTGTCCCATTTGAAAAACATAAATACATAACTGGAGGTTATTTTTAAGAATATATTTCACACGAGCACTGCACTTTTCATGTGTTTCCAATAGATGGCAAAGATAACATTTTTCTAACTATTAAGATGGTAAACATACAATGTTATACATGTATATGATACAAGTTGATGATATAACTTCTCTTTCACAATTTATCACATTACAAACAGCTACAAAGAAATGGAAATTCTTTGGAATGGAAGAATGGAAATGGAAATGGAAAAAGTTCTTGTACATCTCTTTAAAAACAATGACAACAGTCAAAATATGATTTTTTAAAAATACATGCTTTGTTTCCTTAGAAAACATAACACACTGTCAAATTTACCAAGCATGTTAAAAATATCCAAAGTTCCAAAATACAGACCCAAACCACAACACTAAATAAATATAAATAACTAGAGAATGCAAAGCAAATTCTAAAGGGGACATAGCAGCCCTACTTCATTTTATCACTCAAGACCTTGTTCATAACCAAACGCTTCCTCTCTTCAAAATATTCTCTACATCTTACAGAAAATTCTACTGCTTTGGTTTACATTTTTTTTTTCACTTAAATTCTTCATATTACAATTTAACCCTATGTCCTCCTCTTCTGTTTTCAGATTATATATAACTAAACTTTTAGTCACTAGAAAAGCAAATGATCTTAGAACACTACTGTTAGTTATTCTCTGCCCTGTTTTAATTTCTTTTATGAAGTATACATAAATCCTCAGTTTTTGCCCTAAGTTGCTAATCTAAATCTGACAAAATATTCTGCTAAAATCTTCATTATTAATGAACAAAGAGTACTTTATCTGTAAGTTTTACAATCCACACTCACATTTAGAGTTTTCTTGTTAAAAAGTGGTTTTATTCTTGACTCATGTTACACTTTAATCATAATTTTTGCTATCTAGCCCAAAAATAATCTGCAAGGAAATGCTCCAAAGGAACTCTTTACAAACAGAGCAGAGTCTGACTGATGGAGCCCTTTAAAGAATGCCATACTTAATCTACTTTGAAAAGAGGAGCCTTGATTAAAAATAAATAAATAAATAAAAAGAGAGGTATATAGGATCCACAGAGGAAAAGAATTTGGAAGAGTAGAAGAAGGTGTTATAAGTTAAATTTTTAGGAATAAAAGTAGAAAACATAAGTCTGAATTCCGATTAACAATCGATGCAAGGGATTTAGGGTCACAACAACAGTAAGAATTCTCCAAGATTATTTAAACATTTTGACTGTCCCCTATTTGTTACAGTTTACATATAGTGATTACTAGAAGACTTTGGACATTAACTGTCTTTAGGGACCACCCTGGGTACAGGTGGGGCATGGTATTTTGCTTTCCAGATCAGTCTCAAAGAAAGAAACTCCCAAGATACTGAGAAATGTGATGGATTTAATGAAAACAGAAAAAGCTAAAGTCCCTGGGATCTGTAGAAATGGAGAGGATGAAGAAAAATAGTGTTGGCAGTGACGGCTTATGAAACCACCTCTTCAAGGAGACTCTGAAAAATACACTCTACTTCTGAGACTTTATGGGAATATACTTTTTTTGGACCAGGGTCTCCTCTCTAAGTAGAGGGAGTAGGGAACAGGAGGAGAGAAAGGAGGATGATTCAGTACTGAAAGAAAAATCCCACTGAAAACTACAAGCTAAAAAAACCTATTTTTTAAAAATTTTGTGTATAGCTCTTTGAAAGGAATCTAGAATTTAATCACAAGCTTGTTGCTGACTACTTCTTAACCTATCAAAACTATGCTGCAACTTGAGAATAAAAATTTAAAATTAAATTAATTTCTATTAACAAAAAACCTTCTCATGGAAATTTTAAGTTCAGTACAACTCAAAATACCATAAAATTCTTTACCTCCAGGTTTATAAGACTGGAAAACTTGATCAGGCTTTCTCGTCTCCAACAGCAGATCAAACATATATGTTGACTTGACTCCTCCTAGTAGAAGTCCCATTGGTGTATCTTCTTCTCCTTCATACGATCGTTCAAGATAATCATGAAACTCGTCGTATTTAACAAGGCGACAGCAATCCATGGGTATGACTTCTTCTAAATCCATCATCTAAACGAAAATGACGCCCAAGAAAAAAGAAAAAAATATATGTGGTATTTTAGTCTGATGTGTAATTGCACTACCAGTATGTCCTAACAAAACAATAAAATCCATATATTTATGATTTACATCAGAGTTCAAAGACATCAAAGTTAAAGGCACAACTTCAATGCTACTTTTAAATAACCATTATTTCATTATCCCCAAATCATGCAACTTATGCACCAACAAATTTTAAAGACAATTCTGCTTTTAAAAAAAGTTAACACTCTAAACTTTAGATGGACTCAAAATCAATGTATTATAAGCTGTGCTCTATAATCACTAAGTTGGAACACTAGGGAGAACGACCAATGAGAAGATGTGGCTTCTGTTTATGAATTCAGTCTGGAGAAGAACTAGTGACTCACAAGCGCAGAGGACAGCATGCCTCGCAGAGTCACCACAGAGACCACAGCTTCTGTGTCCCCCATGCGCCACCCTGCAGCTAGCTCCCTTACCAGATGAGCCTCCAGAGTACCTACAGCTCAGGGCACAGGAATTTCTGTCATAAATTTCCCTCTAGCTCATGTCACTGGTAGATGGCATACTCTGGATGCAACATCTCTTAAGTGAAAAATGAACTGCCTGGAGACACACAGGATTACTTCAAAGTATTTCATACTTATTTAAAGTTTGTGATTATGACTTTCAAGAAAAACAGTAAACCTGACCTCTACTCACCCCCCAGCTCTCCCCAAAGACAGAGCTCTCTTTCTGGTACATAAGACTGATTTATTTCTCTCTTCTCCTTGTCTGATTCTTTATATTTATGAACTTTTACTTTCTATTTTTAAGACTTTTTTTTCCTTCCTGCATTAAAAACTGATGGAATATAAACTACCATTACTGCTATCACTAATTGTAAAACTATTTAGGTAAGATGTTTTCTCCATTTTAGTCTCACTTGGTTTCACTATTGTTTGCAAAGATGATGCCTGGAGTCCACCACTGTGTTTAAAGGATTTTTACTTTTAGTGAGGTAAATCCAGAACCATCCATCCATTTTACTGTTCGGTCCTTCATTTACTCATCCACATACCCACCCAAATTTGATTCTCCTGCATACCAGGTAAAAGTACAGGAAATGCGATTATGAGCCACACCAGAACACTCTTTGCCTTTGTAAGTACTTACAGTGTAGTGAGGACCAGTGGCATTAATTAGAATAGTCACACAATCAAATATGGATCACACTTTGAGAAACAATGTCAGCCATTTTTAGTTCTCTCATTGGGTCTATATAAAAATTATAAATGAAATGACGTAGTATGCAATTTTTTCTCTAATGACTTTAATTTCAGTTCAATGATATTAATATTTACATGGAAAGGGCAAAAAATATCTTTGTCAAGTGTTACAGATGACATTTAGAACAATCTGATTAAAGAATGCTTCCCTTTCAATTTCCCTTTCAAAGCCCACTAATAACTTTCCATTATTCTCAGAATTGCAAACTTCTACTCATACAAAGTCTCTTATTTTATGCTACTCTAGTCTCTCTTTTTTAAGATTTTATTTATTTGACAGAGAGACAGCGAGAGAGGGAACACAAGCAGGGGGAGTGGGAAGGGGTTTAAAAGCAGGCTTCCCTCGGAGCACGGAGCCTGATGCGGGGCTCGATCCCAGGACCCTGGGATCATGACCTGAGCCGAAGGCAGACGCTTAATGACTGAGCCACCCGGGTGCCCCTATGCTCCTCTATTCTCATTCAAGACAATCTGAACATAATGTCCCTTTTTTCAGTTTTCTGATCATGCCAGCCATGTCTTCATCTCAGTTTTTATATATGTTGTCATCTCTACTAAAATATTCTCCCCCAACTTTCTGCATAGCTGTCTCCTTCTCATGGTTAATATCTCAGGAGAAATAATCTCAACATATTACTGATTTATTTTATAGCATCTAAACAATAACATATCTGCAAATTGTGGAAGGCTCTCAATACATTATCTGCTAAATGAACGAAAAGAACAAATAAATATTTTTGTTTCTAATTCTTTTTTTTTTTTTAAAGATTTTATTTATTCATTTTGACAGAGAGACAGAGACAGCGAGAGAGGGAACACAAGCAGGGGGAGTGGGAAAGGGTTTAAAAGCAGGCTTCCCTCGGAGCAGGGAGCCCGACGCAGGGCTCGATCCCAGGATCCTGGGATCATGACCTGAGCCGAAGGCAGACGCTTAACGACTGAGCCACCCAGGCGCCCCTTTTGTTTCTAATTCTAATTCTTGTTCTACAAAACTGAACTGGCTTTCAGAATGAGCAATTTCTCAAACTCAACTGAGTATGTTCCATAGGAGAGGTGTAAACTACACCCTTGAGAGAGACAGATGCTGTAAATGGGCTATCAATATGACTGCAGGTGCTTGTATTACTACTGACTCTAATCATAATTTTGAAAGAGATGTTAATACTGTTACCTGAGATATTGATACTGTCCAACAGTGCAATTAAACGTACCTTATAAGCCATTTCTACTGCTTCCTTTAATGTCTTATCCTTATGAACCTCCAATTTATTTTCCATCATTACTTGTTTCACAGGATGCAAACAGAATAATTTTATCTAGAAAATGTAAAATATCATCATCACCTCAGCAGGTCATGAATCAAAACATAATTCTCTTGTAGACAGCATTTTTTTCCTAATAGTCAAAATATTGTAATTTTTAAAAGATTTATTTTAGAGAGAGTCAGAGAGTGAGAGAGCGAGAACGTAAGCAGGAGAAAGAGAGAGCGAGCAGGGGAGGGGCAGAGGGACAGAGAGCATCTCCAGCAGACTCCCAGTTCAGAGCCCGACATGGAGCTCGATCCCATGACCCTGAATCAGAACCTGAGCTGAAATCAAGAGTCGGCTCAACAGACTGAGCCACCCAGGCACCACAAAATATTGTAAATTTTTTTTAAAGATTTTATTTATTTATTTGAGAGGGAGCGAGAAACAGAGAGAGAGAGAGAAGGAGCAGGTGGAGGGGCAGAGGGAGAGGGAGAAGCAGACACCCCACTGAGCAGGGAGCCTGATATGGGGCTCAATCCCGGAACTCTGGGATCATGACCTAAGCCAAAGGCAGACGCTTAACTGATTGAGCCACCCAGGTGCCCCAAATATTGTAATTTTTTTTAAAAAACATAACTGAGATCATTCTCTCCCATGTCTATTTTTCTCAGTAATTGATAGTGACTATGTCTCATAAAAAAGAATTCAAAAACATTAATTTTAACAACTGTACATTTCTTGATAAGCATGTATCACAATTTAAATAATCATTCTCCTTCTGATATACATGCAGGTTGTTTCAAATTTTTTTCTAGTTTGTAAAATACCATGAATGTCCTTGTGATCAAAATTTTTATAGCATGTGTGGTTATCTCATTAGGTATTTCCTTAAGAGAATTATATAAAAATACGTAAATTTGCTTAAGGCTCTTGATAAATTCTACTCAATTTCTATGCAATAAGGTCTTTACCAGTTTATTATTCTTGTAGCAGAATGTGACAATGTTCATATCACTGTAACCTTACCAGCACTGAGTATTATCACTATATGTTAGTGTTTTTTAATGCATAAAATAAAACCCTATCTTCCCTCAGTAATACAGTTGGCTACATTGCTTAATGATCATGATAGCATAACTGTCTACAGAATCAACCCAACAAGTATGAGAACTGCAGTCAAGCAAACTTCAATAGCACTTTTTAATAAAAAGTACAATTATGAAATCTAACCTTGCATGTGTTGCGCTCAATTTCTCGTTGCCTTTTTTCTTGTTCTTCCAATTCTCTTTCTCTCTGTACCAAGTTTTTAATATGTTCTGGATATTCATCTACTTCTAGAAATTCTATTGTAATAAAAACAGGGTAAGACAGAGTCATTGGAAATTGATCTTTTTTACTTAATTTTGTTCCATTATGTGCCCATAGTATATACTTCTACAACAGCTCTTGTCAAAACATATCTCAATTACATCCCTCTCTCAACTTGGAACATCAACTTCTTCCAGACAAGGGTGAAGAGGCAGTTGATAATGGCATATGGTTAGGCCATATTTTAAAAAGCCATATATTTAATCCATAATATCTCTTGGCTCCAGGAAAACTCTAGTATGTAGATTAAGACTTCTAGAATTAAAAAGCCTCTCTGAAACTTGGAAATAAAATCATTTCTGATTTCAAACTGTGTTATCACCATCAAACCATGTGACCCAGGGCAAGTTTACTTGTCCAGGCCTCAATTTCTTCAGCTTATTAGCAGCGCTCCCCTACAGAGTAATTACCCGGGATATAATAAAATGTAATAAATGCTGTTGGTGCTACTACTTATTATTACTCACTAATACACTCATCTTTGTTCTCAAAGCAATATTTTAGCTACCTTCTATTTACAGAATTTTATACGTAACTCAAAGTATTAAAAGTGACAGTATGAAATTATGACACTATTTAGTAAACCAATGATTAGCAGGCATTAAATAGGGAGAACAACTTATATATATATAAAAATCACATCCCTGTGGAAGGTCCAAAATCCACTATTTCTAGAAATGAGCTCTAATTGCAAAAATATTCCATAGCATATACAGAGCGCCCTCTGGTGCTTCATCACAAAACTACAGTTTAGGGACTAGATAAAGGAAAACTGAGTTATTGCCCTAATGGAAACATCTGGAATGCTGGGTGCCACAGAAGATACACGAACTACAAACCTGGCTCTGCCTCCAGGAAGCTATGACCTTGGACAAGTTAATCTTTGGGGTATCGTTCCTTTGTAAAGTCAGAATGACTACTCTGAAATCTCTGTTCTGAAATGACTTCTTGTTAAAATTTCCTTTCACTCCCATTAATTCTATTGTAAATTATTGAACAGCCACTATATGACAGACTCTGGACTCTGGATTATCAAAGGTAAAGTTTTAAGCCTTGTACCAACTGAATTCACAATCTAATGAGGGTTTCCAAAAATGTACACAAAAACATTACACTATCCAAAACAGATTTTACAGTATGGTAGTTGCTAAACAAAGGAAGTATGTCGAAATCAAGGACAATGATTATAACAATTATGAAAAGAATGTGAGAGCAACATATCAGTTGTGTATATATCTATAGGTACACTCACACACCCCTACTTATTTGCAATACTGCTTCAGTCAGAGTGAGCATTAAGAAAAAAGGGGAACTGCAATTTTTTAAATTAATAATAAAAAAGAGAAAAAAAGACAAACTCGCATGCTTTGTATACAGGATTATTTCGGGGGTTCTCAATATAATGAGGATATAATAAAGGATGCAAAACTAGAATCATAAAACGTTACTTGCTTTTTAAGCAAATAAGCAAAGATAATTCTAGTTCTTAGAAACATTTCTGGAGTGGTAAGTCAGAAGTTTACTTCATTTAGGGCCCCTAGTCATAGCATTTAGATACTAAAAATACTCCAAAAACATAATAAAAAAAGAAATAATAGCTAAATTTGAGTTTTTACTATGTGCTAGACATGACGGTAAATGCTAAAAATATGTTATCTTATTTAACTTTTCATTACAATCCTATAAAATACTGTAATCATCCCCATTTTACAGATGTGGAAAGTAAGATTTAGAAAAGTTAAATAACTTGCTCTAGGCCATCTAGATGGCGAGTTAGGACCGTTACACAGGTCTGGGGGTTATCACTGAATACAATCTCACTGCAAATAAATATCCAATTTTTTTATGTAGAGTAAATTTTGTCTCTTAGTGTATTAAAAAATATTTCAACTTTTTTCCAAGTGTTTTTACCACTTGGTATTATCTCATAACAGTCTTTATAATTAATTTTTCTAGGAATAAAAAAACTTAAGCATCCTATCATTTAAAAGTAGTTATCTGGGTTTGAAAACTTGCAAAAGATATTAGTACAGATTAAAATCAAATAACCACACGCTAACATACTTGCATTCCGTGCTGGATCCTTCAGTCTATATATCAGCATATATGCATTTGTGGAGCTAGTAGAAATATAAAAAAGATTAATGTCAACAAAAAGGAGATTATAAAGGTTCCATTTCCTAGCACCAAATATTTTTTTATTTTTTATTTTATTTTATTTTTAAAGATTTTATTTATTTATTTGAGAGAGAGAGAATGAGAGATAGAGAGCACGAGAGGGAAGAGGGTCAGAGGGAGAAGCAGACTCCCCGCTGAGCAGGGAGCCCGATGTGGGACTCGATCCCAGGACTCCAGGATCAGGACCTGAGCCGAAGGCAGTCGCTTAACCAACTGAGCCACCCAGGTGCCCCAAATATTTTTTTTAAATCGTAGTTTTTTGTTCTTTCAAACAACTAGAAGACCACATACCTGTTCTTAGGTTCAAACTTAAAGTATTCTAGAAAATAAAAGGAGAATCTACTTTGCTCTTCCCAATGGATTTCTGAGAAGATTCCACATTTCCTCTTGGTAACACAGTTAAGTCTTAAAAAACCTGTGTCCTAGAACCTGTGTCCTAGAACAATTACTAAAGTCAGGAGTCAGCACATTTTTTCTGGGCTACATTGTCTGTTGCGGTTACTTACCTGTTGTTAAGGGAAAAGATCAACACACAATACTTAAACAAATGAGTATAGTGGTGTTCTGATAAAGCTTTATTTCCAAAAACTGGAGGCGGGTAGGGTTTGATCCATGGGTTATAGTTTGCTGACCCCTGGGTTAAATCTCTTTAATGGTAAAAAATGTTGAGAAGCTATAATTGATTCTAATTTATAAACAGTACAAATTAGGAAGTGATTTACCTTGCAAAAGCACTTGAGTAATATCCTCTGCTTCCTGAAGATCCACCATGTGTTTTCTTAATGTCCTCTTGGGTTATCTAAAAAGTTGTTACATTATTTACCTTTTTGTAAAATCTATAATACCATTACCTCTATGTGAACAAGCCAGCCTGTTTTTTTGTTTTTTTTTTAAGATTTTATTTTATTTATTCATGAGAGACAGAGAGAGAGAGAGGCAGAGGCAGAGGGAGATGCAGGCTCCCCGCCGAGCAGGCAGCCCGATGCGGGACTCAATCCCGGGACCCTGGGATCATGACCTGAGCCGAAGGCAGACGCTTAACCGACTGAGCCACCCAGGTGTCCCAAGCCAGCCTGTTTTTAACCTCATAGTTAAATGGGCCATACAATTACCAATTCACAAAATTTAATCAGAGTCAGTGGCTGCTACCGGCCAATCAGTTCTAGTGCTCCTCAACAGGCAGCCTGTATGATGGCTCAGGGAAAGAAAAAAACAAAAAAATTGGGAGTCTATCTCTGGAAACACTCAGCAAGCCTCAAACAAAACGAAACAAGTAACAAGGAAAACAAACTAGGAAGTTTACTGAAAGCAAAAACAAAAGACTTAGCATGTGTCTTAAAATGCTTCACTGGACAAACTAAGTCTCCCATTTTTAATAAACTCTGCTGTTGATTAGAAACATCTCTACTCCTGTCTTTGAGAATAATCTTAAACAACCCCTCCTTACCCTGCTGACATGTTGATCATTGAAGCTGTACCACTGTTCATCACTGAATGACTTTATACAAGCATAGTAATGGCCACCAGCAGCACTCCCTGAATGAACCATAACGGAGAAGAGCTCATAGATCAAGGAATTCTAAGGGGGAAAAATAAAAGTAACTCAGAGAAGAGGAAAAATAAAAAAGTCCCTTTTTGTATATTTCCTATTCTCTATTAATACAGAATAAAATGTTAGTTGTCCTAGATAGTTATTGTAGGTACACTTTCCTCCAAGATAATTAAAATGGCAAGTCACTACATAGTTTTATATATCACAGTTTTGTTCAGTACATTCCTTCACATTTTAATTATGTTATAACCTCTGGAACTATGCATATCTGAAATACAATGTTATTTATGTAAGAAAATAACAGTCTGAAATTTTAGAAGCAGGTCCTAAACAGAAGACTGTTCGGATGTGCACAGGCAAGAAGTCCCAAAAAACATAGTTGTTTTTATTCAAGTACAATTATTCTATTTCCTTTACAAAAGAGCTGAGGGATATAATGATTTGGAGCATCTTCTAATGTATTTATGTAGTATCTATGATACAGTGATCTCCTGATTTGACATCTCTCAAGTATGCAAAGATGGTTCAACATCAGAAAATCAATCTATGTCATACAGGCTAAAGAAGAAAAATTATATGACCCTATCAACTGATTCAGAAAAAGCATGTCATGAAATCCAATACTCATTCATGATAAAAACTCTCAACAAACTAGGAAGAGGGAGACCTCTTCAACTTGATAAAGAACACCTACAAAAAAACCCTAGAACCAACATCATACTTAATGGTGAGAAATAGAATACTTTCCTCCTGAGGCTGGGAGCAAGGCAAGAATGTCCTTTCTTACCACTCTTACTCAACCCTGTGTAAGAAGTCCTACTTAGTGTAGTAAGACCAAAAAAAAAAAAAAAAATTGTTTATGTAGGAAAACAGGCAGGGAACCGTTTGCCAACCCATGCTTGAATCCAATGTTCTTTAGACTAAGTTATAATGTATCCACTACATTATTCATTACATAGCAATTCATGATCATCTATCTGCCCTGAAACAGGTAATTTTAAAAGGTAAAGGATAATGATGACAGTGATTAGAATAATGGTCTTGGTCTAAAAATTGATTTTTGCAAGAGAAACTCCATTCTTAAATACTGTCTAAAAAAACTCTATATTTAATATGACTCTCTGCAAGACTTGAACTACTGATTAGTCTTCAGGCTAGTGACTCATAATTCACACATGCTGAAGCCATTTGACCTGTAATTGTCCCCTCAATAAAGCAGATTATATGAATGTGGAAGAAACAGTTTGATAAAATCTTAAAAACTACTGACACAGTGACAAGGTTTTATGAAAGAAATTATCAAATCCAGTAGTTGTCAAATTATAATCCTTGGAACTATATCATTTTTTTAAGTGCTTTAAGGGCTTCATGGGAAGGGGAGGGGGAGGCTGAGGGCTCTGGCTTTCCCCTATTTCTAAAAGATCGGTTCTATAACTATTTCATAAAGGAGTTCACAGCCAAAATTTTTTAAATCAACAGATCTAGCTGAAAACTTTCATTTTGCTATATGAGAAAACTATGACATAAGATTTAGAGGCCGGGTGCAACTTTAAAGGCAGAAGTGGTTTCCTGACCACTAGGTACCCTTTCCACACCACCACCCAGCTTGGTTACATAGCTACAGCAGTTCAGCCTCCCAGAAATTCATGTTCCTGCCTAAAAGTACCTTTTCCTAAAGTTTAATTATGATCACATATATGCATAAAAGCAGCTTTAAAAAAGTCTTTACTTTTCAAAAATTACTTCCCCTAAAGAGAATTTACTGGTCACAATAGCTATAGAATTATACAGCAGCTCGGAGATTATTTTATTCTTTCAACTAAACCCCACAAACTATAAAAGGTACCTTCTCAAGTCCAAGTTTTGAAATCTTTTCAGTTCCACTATTACTTTCAAGGCAGATCCCTTCATCAACACCATCATCATTCGAGAAATCATTGCTCATCTGATCACTGTGACAACTGCCTTCATTTTCTGCCCCGCTGTCAGTGCAACTTTCAGTCTGAGGGGATTTCTTAATAAAACATAATTATCTTACAATTACAAGCTAAATAAAGGGAAAACATATACTCAGTAAAATTTTTTATCTAGTGGTGTTCCGATAAAAGTGTTAACTCTTTCACATAAGTTCAGATATTAATAAAAGTATTTATTTTAAATAAATTTATCTTCTTTTAGTGAGTCCTTAAATAAAATTAAACCAGTGTATTTAAAAGTATCTCTATTAATTTCCTTAAAATTCAAATACAATGAATTAGTGATTCAGAATTCTAATTAAACCCCAATTATGTTTATAGTTGCAAAGTAACAATATAAATTACCATATCTTTCACCAAAATCTATAAAAGCAGAGAACTTAAGTGCCAAAATGAGCTTTTGTTCTCAAATCCCAAAAGAGTATCATTTTTCTTGAACAAAAAAGTTCAATTTAATTTATCATTGTGCTAGGTATTATATACAATTAGAAAGAAAAACAACATTGTACCTATCCTCAAGAACTTTATATTCTAGTGCACAAGAGGTGGAATTATAACAACAAAAAAATCATACTCTTTCATGCTTTTAAGATTTTTAAATCTGTCTCATGCAAATTTTATTTGAAGGAATCTACTTCTTAGAAATCCCCAACTTCTTGCCCCCTTTTCCTTTAATATTTAATATACATACCTAAAAATGTTTTTATTTAAATAGTTTGAGAATTCTTCTCTAAGATGTAGGCTCTTTTAAGTTGTACAGAAGTTCCTAAATTAACTAATAAGCAATATATAATAATAAGCACCAACATTTGACAAGAACTTTGTTGTAGGGACTGCATCTAAACATACAGTCTTCATCTATCAAGAAAGTTCGGTTCAAAGTGAAAACCAACTCTAGAACTCTACACTAAGTCCAAAGAGGTCATTCCTGACATTCCTTTAGGCTGGAACATCTCTTCTCCCAACAAATGGACCTAGAACTTCCTAAAAGTTCCTGTCAAATTATATCTAGGTTTTCTTTATTTGTAAAAGATCTCCTTTTACAAGAAATATATTAGGTATATACAGAAAACCAATCCAATACTGACTGATCTCTGTTTGTGTAGGACCCTTGTAAAGACTATGTCTACTTTGTTTTTTTAAAGATTTTATTTATTTATTTGAGAGTGAGAAAGAGCATGAGCTGGGGGAGAGGCAGATGGAGCGGGAGAGACAGACTCCTCACTGAGCAGCGACCCGATGTGGTGTTCAATCCCAGGACCCTGGGATCACGACCTGAGCCGAAGACAGATGCTTAACTGACTAAGCCACCCAGGCACCCCCGGAAATACTATTTTAAATTAAACCTTTTAAAATGTAACCTGGTCATAGGTACCATTCCATGAACATCTACTTTATCTAAAACGCTTTTTATAAAAGCCATAAAAAGCAATTATTGTCCTTACTGAACAGAGAAAGTAAGGCTCAGAAAAGCTGCTCTTCTATACCACATTCTCTCTTAATACTTAAGAGCACTAACTAAAACCTAATGTTTAAAATCATTTTTGAGCTTTTGAGAAAAGGCATTTTTATAACTACAGTGATGAGTTCCAATCAGAAAAAAATGATTCATGGTAGTTTTGAAAAAAATAAAGATTTATCACTCTCTAATAACTATGTCCAGTGATTATAAATAACCCCTATAATGAAATCAGAAGTTTCCAAAAGAAAAGAGTGGGACATTAAGAATTTCCTACTGAATCAAGGTTAGGAGAGCCAGAGAATTTGGAGGGGGGGTCAATGAGTGGAAAAAAATGATAAGCATTACTGGTGTCCTTCAAAGTCCCATTCTCAAACTATTTAAATAAAGTTTTAACTAAAAGACTAATTTAAAAAGGGAAAACAGATAAAATGCCTTTATTTTCTAGCTTTCTAGCCTAGTCTATTTTAGAGGTGCTAAATTTTAACGGAGAATAACCCAGAAACCTTAATCCTTGAAAAAGAGACTAAGACAAATACAAAAAATTAAGGCCATACTACCCAATTTGCTCATTTTTTCACTTAACATATTTGTTCTGTGTTTACTATGTACCAGGAACACAATGCAGCCCACCTCTAGATTGGTTTGTTTTGCTAAGAAAGTTATGAAACATAAGATTATTGCTCAAATTAAAGAAATAATTCCAGAGTTTGAGATTCTTTTTGTTTTTTTCAAAGAATATCGTAAGTTATTCTGATCAAAAAAGAATATCTGAGATATAATTTACAGTGGACAAAAAAAGCTTATACAAATCTAGATCTTTTAATAGAACTTGGCATTACAAAATATGGGAAGAAAGGAATACCTTCTATCACAAAGACAGTCTAAACACCACCAGTGTTGTTACCCCAAATAGCTCTCTTAAACACATGACCAACTAAAATGATTGACTAGTATCTTTTAAAAAAAAATATGAATAAATATTTTACCTCATCTTCAACATCAATAAATGTACTCATATCTAGCTCTTCAGGAAATGTCATCCGATCATTCAATTTAATCCTGTGCATTGTTGTATAATCAAAATCAAACCTTTTCAACTGTAAGGTCAGTAGATAAGGGAAATGCAAAAACCGAAGACCCTAAAAAGAAAGGGACCTATTGAATATGGAATATAATCTCAGGTAATTTAGTATTAATTTCTACATGGCATCTACCTTTCGTGCATCACATTTCTTCTTACAACGTTCACAAAAATATTGATTTGGGCCATCCAGGATCTCTGGCTGAATAAATGCATGCAATGCTTCTTCCTAGTAAGAAAAAAATAATTGTTTTATAATTACTTAAAAATATTATAATGTTAATGACAAAGCCCTGAATATAAAAACTTTGCAATTACCAAAATACTCAGAAGTAGAATGGCTAGAAAATGAGGAACTCAAAATGCAAAAAGAAAAAAAAAAAATCAACAGCAATATAATGTCATTATAAAAACTGAGGGACAAAATAATTGCTTTAATTCTGCATGAAATCTGTCATTCCTAGTATTGCACATCACAGTTAATCACTTCTACCTAATTTTTACACTGACTTTACATTGTGGAATTCAGCTAAATAACCTAAAAAAAATCCTGTCTTTAGATTAAAAATTCCATACTTCTTAGAAAAGTACATGCATCACTTCAATCTTCTTGTAAAAGGAGACATTCATAAACTGTACAGTAAATAACAGAACTCTGAAGAATTCACATTATGCATATACTAAAGAATCTAGTAACCATCATTTACCACTATATTTAGCGTCAATCCTTAATTTGCCACTGCACTAAAGATTGGAAAGCACTGGGCTACTTTCTCCCTGCATGTCAGATACTGCTCCAACCGAAAATGTATGAGAGCTCTTGGAGTGTTCACCTAGTGGAACCATGTGGTTCTCTTTTCTCCATACAGCCTTAAGACAGAAGCAAGAAACTTAGTATGAATATTGTTGAAGAATCAGGGGACATAAAATTTTTAATCACTGATTTTTCACAATAAAAAACTGTAGTTAATACAACATATAAGATTGGATGGCATAATCTCAAGTTTCTTTTGTTGTGATCTCTTCACACATGGTCTAATCAGAACTACTGATCATATTTACTAAATGCAAAGAAAAAAATCTGTATCAAGACAAAATATCTTCAAACATTTTTCTTTTGATTCAGAACATGTTGTTGCTCAAAAGATAAATAAAGGAGCTTAATCTGGTAAAATGTAAAATAGCTGACAACAAACTACTATGCACATATTGTTTCATATAGCTCATTTTGGGATAAGAATAAAAAATAAAAAGATTTAAAATGCCTCTAACCTCATCCATCTCCTATTTTGTTCTCAGAAACCCAAGAAAGCAAGGGAGCTGAGGGTGGGGGGTGGAGTGGAGAACCAAATAGTGGGTTTTTTTCCACATGACAAAGCATTTTACTGGAGGTCACGGAAAGGGGAACATTCAGAATGATTTTTTTTTCTTTAAAGTATATTTTAAGCATGAAAAAGGCAAATCCTGTAAAAGCATAACATAGAAAAAGCCATATATATAGCTTAGCATAGGCTGATATCAAATTAGTCAAACTTTCCAAATAGAAACTGAACTGTAAAACAATACTTTAACAAAAAAAGGGAAGGTACGTAGAGAAAATTATGTAACTCAAATTCTACTTTACTAAACCATGTGTATCAGTCTCTGGCTAGAGTTCATAGCTAACGCTATCTTTTTCTATTTTTTTAAGTTAAAACTCAGAGAAAAGTTTAAAGCACAGAAAACTCCCATAATTTATTCAGACTCACCAACTTTTAGTATTTTGCTACCCCTGCTTTATCATTCTCCCACCCTCACACACATTATGTATTTTTCTGAAGCATTTGGGAGTAAGTTTACATATCATGCTTTCCCTCTTAATAGTTCCATGTGACTTTTTTTAAGAGTAAGGATATTCTTACATAAACAACAGAGTTCTCAAACTCAGGAAAATTTACGACTGATAAAGTACTTTTGCCATATTCCAATTTTGTCAATTGCCCCAATCCTAAAAATGCCTTTCTCCCCATCCAGTACAGAACTGAATCCAGATCATAGATTACATTTGGCTGTCTCTTAAGATTCATTTTGTCTGGAACAGTTCCAAAGCCTTTCTTCCTTTCAGGACATAAATGGTTTTTGAAGGAGGCCGATTATTTTATAAAATGTCTGCAATTTGGGTTTGTCTGATGTTCCTTATCATTAGGCTCAAGTTCTATGTATTCTTTACTAGACTACCACTTAAGTTATGAAGTGTCCTAAGGATATCATGGTCACAGGCCATGATATTGCCAACCTCCCTACTGGTGAAATGAACTTTAATCACCTGGTCAAAGTGTTATCCAGCTTCTCCACTACATAGTTACTGTTTTATCCCCTTGCAGCTAATATGTAATCTGTAAGGAGATACTTGGAGACCATGCAAAAAGCCTGTATCTTATTAAACTTTCCACCTTGGATTTAGCATCCACTACTGGATTCTTGCTTAAACCAAATTATAAAATGTTTATGAGCCAACTTAAAAATCTTTTTTTTAGTAGGCAACTTAAGTCCATTAATATTTGATATGATGATGTTTTGTTTCATCTAAATTAGTTTATTATAATTACTATGTGTACTGAGTAATATTTACTGTGTTCTTCTAAGTGGCGTGTTTTGCTACCTTTTACATTTTCCTTTGGTATTTAGGAAGGTAATTTTGTTCTAGTGCATTTATACTTTTGTTAATGCCCTTAATTTCCCTTTTTCTTACTTAAGCCTTTAGTGTCTGGTTTGCTAGTTTTATGTTATCCTTTGTCTCCTACCCATTCAGCCATCTATGATCTCATTCTACTTTCCCTTATTTTCCCCCTTCCCCTTTTTTGAGTGGTATTCCTTTTACTCCATCTAACATATAATATGGTATTCTTCTACCTATGTCCCCACCCTTGTTTCATTTAGTCCTTATTTCTATAATTTAATATATTAAGTGCTCATAGTACTTTTGCTGAAGCTTCCCTGGGCTGGGGATCTCTTCATTGGATAGAGCTTATCCCCTAATAAACTCAAGAAGGGCTCATGGATATAATAGTAATTTTTTCAATGCTCAAGAATGGAATTACTCACTGCCATCATAACAAGAAAAACTTGGCTAGATGTCAAATCTTTGGCCTGTACTTTCTTTCCCCGAGTTTCTGGAAATTGCTATTCTGTTGCCATAATTTGCATGCTGCTCTTCATAAGTATAATGCCAGCCCAATTTAAAGTTTAACAGTTTACCAAAATATGTCTGAGTTGATTATTCTAGGTCAGTTTTTCCAAGTACATGGTAGGTCCTTCAAAAGTAGACTTAAATTTCCCTGACTCCCAGAAAGTTTTCTTGGCTTGTAGTTCCTAAGTTTTGTTCTACTGTGTTGTTTTTATTCTTCACAGACTCCCAGTTATGTTGGACATCCTTTGCCAGTTTTTCATTTTCTCTGAGATCCTTTTTACTTTCTTTTTCATTCTACGTCCCTCTTTAGATTTCCATTCCATTCTCTTACACATTTTATAGTTTATTCTTCACTTTGAACATAGTTTGGTCTTTTTCTCTAATTTCTTTCCTGAGTTTTATCAATTCATATTACATTTCCTGCTTTTTGTTTTTAAATTCATTTCTCTCCTTTAATTCTTGGATACCAGGTTTTGTTTTGTTTTGTTTGAGAATATTTCATTTAGTCTGGGGTACTGTTACAGCGTTCTACTGTGTGGTTATTTTCCTGAGGGCTTTTTTTGGGCAGGATGGATTTTCATCAGTTGAAATGCTTTAATACGTATTTTCTGTTTTCTTCTAACAGTGATGCTGTGTAAATTTGATTCCCACCCCCCACCCACCCAACCCATCATTCTGTGGACAGCATTCTTTAGTTTGAGAGTACCTCAAACTTTTGTCAACTTAGTGAAGTGCAGTTTCTTAAACGGGTGATGGGAGTGCAGAGCTTGAGGTCGTCTTTCATTCTGCAGGATACTTGATTTTTCGCTTTCTCCTTGTTTTCTCCTCTTCACTACTATGAGTCAGATGCATCATGCTTCTTTATTTCTCTCCCAGAGGTAAAATTCTTCTAAGGATGCCACTTCTCACTCTAGAACTCCTTCCCTGTAGCTGGTGCTATAAACTACCCAAGTCCTATTTGGCACTCTCTCTTTTGTCACGTACTGCTGTACTTTCTCCTTTTGAGGGTGGCTTTTGTCTTTATTTTGTTACATCTTTCAATCTCTTCTCTGTTTCATAGTCTCGAAGGCTTTCCACTGCATCTTCTCCACACATACAGACTTGTAGCAGCAGCAGAAGCTCTGTTGGAATTTGGTGATTATTTTGCTACTTACAAGTAATTTGAGGTTTAGGGTGTTCTGTCTCCTAGTAATGCAGAATTTATGGGTTACCTGGGTTTTATCTGTGTTCCTTTTAGTCTATGGTTTTTGGGGAGAATGTGTAGAGATAAACAGATTCTGGCGGCCACCATTATCCTCTAAACTCAGAAACCAGTTAAAACTATATTAAAATAATTTTCTATAGCTTCCATATTCACTTTTTAACAAGTTGTCTCCAGGTTAATCATAAATTAGACAGTTATAAAAATTAGCTTCATCTGTCCATTGAAGAAATAAATTATGTAAATGATGGGCTAATGTGGCTATATACAATTATCTTCACCTTAATGTGATGTAGATTATGAAAAATCATGCCAAACTGTATTTTACATATTAAAAAATAAGCTATGGATCATAAAAATGGAACAAAATACTACAAATACTATACCACTATTAATATACACAAAAATTTTGCTCTGGTTACCAACAGCTGTCCTCTTAAGTATGTTAAATTACTCATGTATCATGCTTCTAAACTAGCTTTGGGTTGACTATGGTTGTTTTTCATCACTCCAGAGTGAATATAATAGATTTATTTTCTAGAGCTTAATCCTCACTATTATACAAAATATAATTTGCACATTTTTTAGATTGTAATTTTCAGAGTTCAGAACAGAAGAATTCTTACATCATGAGTTATTACAATTTTATAGTTAATGCAGAAAATCTAGGCACAATGCAATTATAAGGTATATCCAAGGAATGACACCGCCTATGAATTCTCTCATTTGTTTTTACTCTTACCCTATATATAAAATTCTTTTCTCATCATTCAATGTCTATTTTATTTTGAATGAAATGGGTGCCAAAATAGGATACTTTATTTTTCAGATCAAGCAAAAAAAGATAAATCTGAACTAC